TCTCTCTTCTGCTTGAGATAGACTCAGGGCCTGTTTGCTGCAAAGAATCCTGATGAGCACGGGGCCTTTGAATGGGGAGAGACTGAAGGCAGGCAGGCAGCTGGGAAGCCTTGGCAGTCACATGGGGGAGTCGTGACAAAGGCCCTCAGGAAGGAAAAGGCAGGACAGGGACAAGGTACTGAGGAGGAAGGGTTGACAGGTTTAAGGATGAGAGAAGGCACAGTCACAAGTGACCCCAGTCTTACCGGTGACATGCATAGGTTATGTGGCCGCTGGGGACACAGTCTGTGGGTGATCTCATTAAAGGGCCAAAAATGTCCCCCTTCAAATGCCACCCTGGCTGGAACCCAGGAGCTGGGCGTTTGTGAATGTCAGCAGGAAGGGCCAATGTTCAGGAACTTGGGGTGGGGCCAAGTAAGAGCCATCCCTGACCCCGCCACCCCCCCACCCCGTCCCCAGGGAGATTTCAGATGCCCCCAGGACACCAGCTGCATGACCAAATTCCCCCCGCTCTGGGACTTGGCATGCACACTCTTGGAACTAGGTCTCTCATTCATTTTTATCAAGATCTTGAAAGTGGTAATAAAGTTACACCAATGAATAGCCCAGCACAACATGGGGAATGTAATAAAGGTGAAAGCAATAAAAGGTGGAGGGACCAGCCACTCCGCACGGATACGACTCGCAAGAAATAAAAGTCATTATCACCTGCGCAACCTGGCCGGCCCACTCCGCATGTGAGGAAGAAAACCATTTCAGAACTTTATTTCCTATATTGAATGTCGATAATTGGATGTATTTATAAGTCTCTCTGGAAGAAAACAGCTTGTGATTTCAAGATGAGAAAACAGTCTTCCAAACAGTGAAAAACAATATATTCCCCATTCTCACACACATACAAAGAGCTTGTTTCCGTCGATGTTTTTAAGGTGCTGTTGGAATGATTTGCCTTCCCGAAGCCGCCATGCCATTTCTCATCTTGAATTGCCTCGTAGACCCTGGCAAAGCACTCAGCGGGGACCACTTCATCTGAGATGCTGACGGGCTGCCCAGGGAGGGCCCCTCAGCCTCTGCCTCTTTTCTGCAGGAAGAGGGCTCCTCAGGCGGGTGGGTAGGGAGGAAAGGGCAGGAGGAGTGAGGTGGGAGAGACGCTGGGGGTGCGTGATGGAGGGGGGTGGTCGTGCTGGCCTCAGGAATGAGAGAGCTGCGGCTGTCTCTGCCAACATCGCAGAGGCTGAAGGCTGGGACCTGCCAGAGCCTTGATGGAGAGGCGCCCTGTGGGCTTTCCCTTTCCATCACGCTCCTTCCTTCCCCACTCCGGGAAAGGTTGGGTAGGAACATGCCACTCCTGCCCTCACTGTTCCTTCTGTTCAGTGCCTTTAGTACAAGTTCCCTGAGCCCAGTCTTCTGTCTCAGCAAAAGCAAAACAATCACAAAAACCCCAAATGACACCCCACATCACACGCCTCACACACTGAGGCTGGGGTTCCCCTGGGGCAGGCGCAGAGTCCCTTGCTGGCTCTCTCCAGTTCTGTCCTCTGACCCTCGGGAGCTCCAGCTCCAGATGTGAGCTTGGCCCCCATTGCTTTCCTGCCCAGAATCAGTAATCGTGGGATGGTGGGAGGAAACGGCAGCCTGTACCCCTATTCCCCCGACGGTGGGCTCCTCTTCCTCCTCTGCTCCAGGACCTCTGGAGCATAGGCTCTGGGCCTCAACCCCTCACAGCGTGGTCAGTCTCAGAGTGGCACCAACGGGGACAGCTTGGTAGCCAAGGACAGACCCAGCATCTAGGCCACCTCCAGTGTGGTCCTGCAGAGACTTCCAGCAGACCAGTGTCCCCAGTATGCAGCTGAAGATGGATGAGGCCCATGTCATGCCTTTTCCAGGGGACACCTCTCTAAGGCCCCGAGGGTGGCTCCTGTGTCATTCCAGCTGGTGGCCACTACTGGGGCTGCCATCTCCAGGTGGCCAGCCATCAGCAATGTCCATGGGGCTGCCAGGACACGTGGCTAGGTGGCGGGGGGTGGGCAGAGTGGGGGAACCTGGCAGGACACAGTGTCTCAAGGACAAATGGAGCCACAGAAGCTCCAAGGAGGAGCTTTCCTGGGACCGGCTTTCTTGTGGGCATCTGGCTGGGGCAGGGCACTTGGAGAGAGTTCCGATGCTCTGGCTGCTGGGCTGGCTGAGCAGGAACATCTCCCCGCCCCGCTTGTAGGTCACAGTGATGGCAGATTGTTTCAGCCAAAGGCCTGTGACCTCGGAGGTGGCATCGCTTAAGGCCTGAGTGTGCTGCCTGGTGCTCCCCCTCACTGATTTACACACTCCTCCTGCTCCAACTCTCTAAAATCAATCTTTCTCCAATTGCCTCCTGGCTCCCAGCAGCGTCCGGATCTGCCCTGCATGAGTAACTACGCAATCTTCGCCTACTTCCAGGGCTGCTTCTCTGGGGGCCCCAACTCCTGATGAGGAAGGGTGGGGGTGGGGCCCGGCCCAGCCCTGCCCGAGCCTCTGATGGGGAGGGGTCAGTGGTGGCGGGCAGCAGGGCTGGACCTCCGTCCAGATGAGCCTGGGTGCACAGGAGTCAAGGGCAGGGACACCAGGGAGCTCCACTGACTTGGTAGGTGCCCTCCCTCTTTCATTTTTGTGGATGTTTAGGATAATTACTTATTTTTTATGTTAATAAACACTCTGAGCTGGTAGTTGGCTTAATTTTGACATATTTTATGTCAAAAGAAATGGTGGAGGGGCTCTAATGAGCTCAGGGCTAGGTTTTTCTTCTGGAAAGGAACATGAAAAGCTCATTCTGCTCACCCTTTGTTATTTAAAAAAATTTTTTTTTAAAGATTTTTTATTTATTTGTCAGAGAGAGAGGGAGAGAGAGCAAGCACAGGCAGACAGAATGGCAGGCAGAGGCAGAGGGAGAAGCAGGCTCCCCGCCAAGCAAGGAGCCCGATGTGGGACTCGATCCCAGGACACCGGGATCATGACCTGAGCTGAAGGCAGCTGCCCAACCAACCGAGCCACCCAGGCGCCCTTTGTTATTTTTTAAAAGTGTCTCTTTTTTATGGAATGCAGTTTCTTTAGCTGAAGGTAGCGCAATTGTTCAGTGGCGGGGTGGGGCAAGTTCTTGGGGGCCTAGGGCCAGGTGGTAAAGTATAGAGACTTGTCCTCTGCTCTCCCCCCTGGAAACTGGCAAGGGGGCTGATAGACCCTCTCTGGGGGAGTCCTACCTGGAAGAAGGAGACTGCTGAGAGCAAGGATGGGGATGCCTTCTTCCATCACCTTTCCTCTATCTTAACTGGGTCAGGGAGGGGTGAAGGGCTATTTGGAGGTGCCACCTTCCTCCTCGTGCCTTTGGCACCTCTTTTGGCTATGCCACAGGCTAAAGGTGCCTGGATGTTTGCTCCTGACACCCTACAGCAGCCCCATGGGGTGGTGTCATTAGATCTCACCTGACAGATGAGGAACTCAGGGATGGTGCTGGGATTCAAAGTGGCCATGCTGGGTCCCCCACTCTGCTTATGGTCTGGCTTGGTTCCTTCCCCTGTGTAAGGGGTTGGCTATCTTCCCAGTATTGTGGGAACACATCACAGCTGTTTCTCCATCTCATAGCCTCTGGTGCCTCCCAGCCTGGCCATGGTGACCTACATCTTTGTCTTTGACAAAGAAGCAAGAGGTATCCCCAAACCCAAGCCCTTCAACCAGAAGTTACCTCCAGCTTCGAAACAGCTGGGGACTGGGATCAGGATCCCCATGAGCATGGGCTGGGCCCTACCTCCTGTCCTTGCACATCTGCACACCCTCATGTGACCCAGGACCTCAGGGGCGCCCCCACCCCCAGTCCTGGGCCCCTTTCCTTAACAAAGCCAGCACGGGTAACTAGTCAGGGGTGCCACTGCATAAACTTGGCTCGTGTGAACTCAGGTGAGTTACCCACCTCTCTAGGCCTCAGTTTCCCCATCTGTAAAATGGCCTTAAGGACAGAGCCTACCACACAGAGCTGTTGTGAGGATTCAATGAGCTAACATCTGCAAAGGACGGGATCACAGGGAGTGCTCCATACCTGTTGCCAGTAGTTGTTAGTATTACTGTCATTTTTTTTTTAAAGATTTTATTTATTTATTTGACAGAGAGAGCTCACAAGTAGACAGAGAGGCAGGCAGAGAGAGATAGGAGGAAAGCAGGCTCCCTGCTGAGCAGAGAGCCTGATGTGGGGCTCGATCCCAGGACCCTGGGATCATGACCTGAGCCGAAAGCAGAGGCTTAACCCACTGAGCCACCCAGGTGCCCCATATTCTAAAACACCCGCAGCCCAGGTTGCTCCCTTGGAACACCTGCTTCCCAATCTCCCTCCCAGATACTCCTTCCTCCAACTCTTTGGAGGAACCTGCACCCAACAGCAGTGCCCAGGAAAGGAAAGGAGGGACAGCTTCTGGCAGATTCTCCCTCCTGAACTGCGCCCTCCATGTGTGCCTTTCTCCCCAGCCCTCCTCACGGGCCCCCCCTGCCTCCGGGTCGTCCTCCATGCTGCAGTTGAGGAACCTTAGAAAGATCCTACCAGACTTAACTTTCCAGCCACATACCGGAGGCCCTGCAGGATCTGACCCTTGCTTACCTCTGAGGTCTTACCTCTCATTCCCACACCCCTCTCCTGGACACTGAACTTTTTGGTTACTCCGATAGCCCTGGCCTTTGCTCAAGTTATTTCCCTTCCTCAGCTACAGCTGCCCCGCCCCTAGATTGGGTCAAAGGCTCTCCCCATCCCCCGCCCTGGGTTTCCTCCCCAGGGAGCAGGGTTGAGATGAGGTCTCCAAGGCCTGGGGAAACCCCCTTACTGCGGAAAGGCCTCTGTCCCTGACTCTGGCCCCAGCGAGTAGGGCTCGGCTCCTCGCCGAGTTGGACGCGAGAGGGGGCGGGGCATGGGTGTCCGGCTCCGCCCCGTCCCCGCCTCCCGCAGTGGGGACCGCAGGGTTCAGCTGATGCCTCATTTCACGTGACGCTGGCTCTGGGCGAACATGGCGGCGGCCACCGGGTGAGTGCTGCTCGCGTCCCTGGCCGTTGGCCGGCGGCGCGGAGAGGGGGCCTGTGTCTCCGGGCTGATAGCCTCTGCCGGCGGACCGCGTCCCGGCTGGTCGTGCTGTGTGGCCGCGGGCAGCGCGATTCGTAGCGTGGGGCGGGCATCCGAGCGCCGGGCGGCTGACCGCGCGCTTCTAGAGTCAGGGGTAGCTGAGCGCCCCTCTCCGCTGCCCCGTGGTCCTCGGGGCCATCCTGGCGCTCAGGCCCCACCCGCGCGCGTGGCCGAGATGGGGGCTCGGACCTGCAGGCGCGTTCACGGCCACGCTCCTCAGATAGGCAGACCGCGTTGCTGGTTGCCGGGGAAGGAGCGCTCCCCGGAGGAGGCGGTTTCTAAGAAGGGCTCGGAATCCCTTCTCCAGCAGGGCACTTCCCCACTTCCTTCAGGGCCCAAACGTCACCTCAGAGAAGCCTTCCCTCTGTACCTGCCCTACGTTTTGTAGTTCTTATCACCATCTGAGAAACTATATAGTGCTGTTATTTTACTTGTTTGTTTTCTCATTTGGAATGTAAGGTCAGGGCCTTTCTCTTGTTCACTCCTGGGCCTCACTGGTAAGTGCCTTGCACACAGTAGGCGCTTCCAGAATCCTGCTGCATGAAAGAATGGGTGAATAGTTTTGGTGGCAGGAAGTGTGGACAGATGGGTTCACCGAAGCCTTGGGGAAAGTGCCCCGGAGGAGGGAACATCTGAGCAAAGAGTGAGTGACAAGGGTTGAGAGTTAAGACTGTGCTGGGGATGGGGGAGAATGCTGGAGGGTGTGGTGTTCCAGTTGGCTTGTCCAGACTTTGTCCTGAGGGGCTGAAGCCATCCACGGGTTTTAATCTAATCAGATGTGCTCTTTAGACAGTTGCTTCCCTGGGTTGTGTGTGAGTTCAAGGGGAGGCCCAGTGATGGGTATGACTTATGGGCATGGTGGTGCTGGGGGCTAGGAGGGGAAGTGGTAGAGAGGGGGCACTGCCCCAGATGCCAGGCTGGGAACTGAGATTGGAATGGTGGAACCAGTGGGTTGACTGCATTTCTCTTTTGGGGAGGTGGGGAGAATGGAAACAGAACAGGGTTGAGAGAGCTTAGGACATAGAGATCAAACCTTTAGCGGGCACCTGCTGTATTTCGGGATCAGTACTGGGCCTACCCTTAGGTGCTCGCAGGCCACTGGGGCAGATGCACACACAGTGCATGCCGTCCACCTGTCTGCCTCTGGTCTTGGTGTGCGCCATGGAAGGGCATGGGTCCTGAGCTCAGGGGAGAGTGTGGGTAGGCTTCAATTCCTGGATGACATGTGCCAGTCCTTGGGTGCCCCTCAGGCAGAGACAGAGAGAAAGACAGCCATATGGAGTCAGGACCAAGCCTGGAAAGGGGCAGAGAGAGCAAGAGGTATAGGCCAGTGCCCAGATAAAGGTCTGTTGTCTTTATATCTGGGCCAGCCAGGTGGTCACAGAGAGTTCCAGGGGCTTCATTTGGGTTCAGGGCTCCATACTGGCCTCCTGCTCTCCTGAAAGCACAGAGGAGCCAGGCTCCTTGTTTGTATTGAGGTGAGCCTGGACCTGGCCAAATCCTGGAAGGACGGTTCTTCCAGCAAAGCTGATCCTCTGGGGCCAAGCGGGGAGGCAAGAGGAGGAGACACAGAGTGACAGAATTCTTGGAGAGGTACACTACACTATTGGAGATGTGGGTGGCGAGGGGGACAGAATTCTGCGTAGGATGAAGAAACTCTTTTAATTTTTTTTTTTTTTTAACTGAATGGCTCCCAGGGAACTGCTCCACAGAGGGCCTTTGCCAGCAAGGAAATGCAGGTGAGCTGCCCTGGGTGTGAACCCATTGGGTCATAGGTCATAATAAAGTCAGCGTTTTTCGGGAGAGAAAGTAACCTGAGGAGTCAAGTTCAGGATCAGAGCCTGTCCCCACCCTGATGTGAACCTTGTCCTCCTGGGGAAGAGGTGTCAGGCTGACCCTGGTGGATGGGTAAGGGTGGGTCTGTTAGAGTCAGGCTGGCCGCTGAGTGCCCCTTTGCCCTCTCCGGCCCCTTGCCAGGCTTGGTCCTGACTCCATATGGCTGTCTTTCTCTCTGTCTCTGTGTGTGCTTAGCGCCCCCCCCCCCCCCCCCCCCCCCCTGCTCAGCCAGAGTGAGTGGATTGCCCTTGCTGATTGTCAGCTAGTGGGTTTGATGCCTGGCCCAGCCCGGAGGCTGAGGGTGAGGAAGCAGGAGGTGCTTGGCTGGCCTTTCTTGCTTGGAGCTTAGCAGCGGGGCCCCCTCTAGAAGTGGCATCACATTCCGGTGCAGGGACCTCGTCCTTGCCTGTGCCATGGACCCCATGTGTATCGGGGAGGCCTAGGCCCCCGTCTCAACATGATGCTTTTAAATGCATAAAAGAAAACACGGAGGATTACAAGGAAAACCGATTGTATTAAAATACAGTTGTCAAAATGTTAGTAAATTTACAGTATAGTGATAGATGTTATTAACCCATTAAGTTATAAAAGCAACAGGCCTAATAACCACCTTAGTTTTGAAGCAGTGGTGAACAAGAGTGACATTTTGAGCTACTGTGACATGAGTAACGTGATAGGAAAATGCCTGTGATTATTCTTGGTGACAGGTTCATACATAGTTGATACTGTGAATCAGGAAATGCATATTGGGATGAAGGTTTGAGCCCATAAAAATATCATTTTTTCCCATCCAAGTAGATGGAATCCCTCAGTTCTATGTGTGAATCCCCACAGGCCTTGGGTGCGAGCCCTGCATGTGGCCATAGGAGAGGAGGGGGTGCTCAGCCCTGGTTTGGGGGGGGACAGGAATAGATTGCAGGGGCAGCAGCATCACACTTTCCATGAGGCCAGCCCTTCTCCCGGTCTGCCTGGGCCCTGGCGGTTTGTAGGGCTGGGCTGGCTTTGGGGTGGGGGTGCGGGGCTGGAACTTGAGCTCTGGGTCTCCCTGGTGCCCAGAGCCGGTCTGCCAGCCCCTGCTGTCTTCCTCGGCCATTGCCTTATTTATGCCGGCACTTGGGAAGGACCTGGCTTTTGCCTTCTGCATTCTGGATGTCGGCGAGCCCAGTGGAGAGCAGGTGGAGATGTTCTGTTGGCGCTGCTTCTGCTGAGCTGGCAGGAAGTCACGCTCACTGGCTCTGGGCCCAATCTTTTCTCACAGGATTGGCTTACACCGGGAGAAATCAAAGGGTGCATCTCTATGGACCTTGATTCTGGGGGTGCCCTGCCGTAAGGAGTGACCGCAGCTCATCGGCCTGCCTGCCCTGCCCTTCTGTGTTGTGGCTGAGCCCACGGGGGCCTGGGGAGTATTGCAGATTTTCTTCATGGTAGTGGCTGACGCTCTCAGAGAGGATTCTTAGCAAGTTTCCTGTCTCAATCTGGGCTGCTTGGCCCATGGGCCAGAAGGTCACAGTCTAGGTGCCCTGAGACACAGAGGCGTCTCAGAAGGTTCTGGACAAGTGGAAGCCCAGTCCTTGTGAGAGCCTTCCTGGTGGGGGCATGGTGGCAGGCCCGGGGGAGCTGGTGTCTGGTGTGTTTAAGGAGAGAGGGCCAGGGAGAGGGGTGAGGAGTGGTGGGGGACGAGGTGGGCAGGGCTAGGTGTTGGTGCGGGCTGGAATCGGGCCCTTGCAGCCAGTTGTGCTACGGAGTCTGCAGGCGTCTGGCAGCTTTGGCCAGAGCCACCTGCAGTGGTGCCTTGGCAACAGCCCCTCCGCCCCTGGGGAATGTGCAGTGACAAGGTTCTCCCCGGGCCACCCCCTCCACGGGCTTTGCTGAGTGAGGGGAAAGCTGCGGGGATGCTGGGGGCTGCACTTTCGGTTCCTGTGTGCACGGCCAGCTGGGATGCAGGCATATTTATGAGCTGCCACCTCTGCCCTTTGATCTTTAGGGCTGAGCGCTGCAGAAAAGTGGCCCAGCCTCGAGGAAGTGCTGGCCCCTGTCCAGCCTCTCTGGGAGGGTGAGTGGCAGCCCATGCCCAGGGACCCCGGCGTTCTGGTCCCGTGGATGTATGTGGGGTGTGCGTGAGCCGTCCACCCTTTCTGGCCAGGCTGGGCCCCAGGGTTCGTCTTCCTGCCGCACTGGAGCTGATGTGGCAATTTCTGGTCAGCACAGCTGTGTGGGTGACCCCACATTGTGACAGTTGTCCACTCAGCAAGTATTTATCCAGTACATGCCGTGTGCCGAGCAGAGTGCTAGGCACTGAGGCAGCAATGACCAGAGCAGACCCAGATCTGTGTCCGTGGGCTTGACATTCTTGTGTGCGGAGGCAGCCCCTGCAGTGAGCACCAGCGAACACAGGCTGTGTCTACGTTAGAAGGTGTTTGTGTCACTTGGGCCAGGGACCTGACAGAGCCTCACTTGAACGGGTGATGGGAGTTTACCGCAGGGTCAGTTTACAGCGCTGCGGGCAGGTTCAGGGGACCTGAAGAGGCAGCAAGCTGGCCAGGAGCCAGTGAAGGCAGTGCTGGGAGAAGGGAGGCCTGGGAGCTGTGGCCCTGAGGGGTGGGTCCACCAGTGTCAGGTTCCAGGTTCCACCAGGGAGGGAGCAAGGAATGGATTCCCTGTCGTCCTTCCACCCTCTGGTCTCCTGCCCTGCCTCCCAGTGGCTAAATCATCTGGAGCCTTATTGAAGTGCTGGGGGGCCTGACCGGAGAGCCCGGGGCCTGCTTGACAGGAGGTGAGATCCCTGCCCTCTTAGAGGTTACATTTTCCCTGGGGAAACCAGGAGCAGGTAATAAATGACGTTACGCAGTACTGGGTGCTCTAGAGCAGAGTGAAGAGAACAGGGAATAAGGTTGGGACAGAGTACTGGTAAGCGTCTGGGGAGAGCGGCCATTTCTGCAGAGACGTAGATAAAGAGCTGGGATGCCCCTGCAGGCAAAGGTTAGATCCCCTCAGTGCCCGGTAGCTGTCTTCCACGTGCACTTGACAGCGGAGGGCAGCAGGCAGGGGAGGGTCTGCACAGATCTGCATTGTAATGGGTCCTTCTGGGTGGGTACAGAAGAGGTTGTGGGGGGGAAGCTAGGACCAAAGAGATCCTGGAGGGTTCCCTGTGGTTGTCCAGGCCGGAGATGGGGGTCCCCCAGCTGGAGGAGGCGCTCAGGAGGGAGGGAGCCTGAGCATGGTTGGGGGCTGTGGAAAGAGTGGTCCCCAGGGTCCTGGGTGCCCAGAGGCTGAGTGAGGACTGGGAAGCCAGTGTGGATGGGGAGTGTGGGGGTCACTGGGGCCTGGCAGGGGCTCGAGTGCGGGAAGGGGTGGGCCGAAACCCAAGGTGGCGATTGAGGAGAGCATGGGCCGCTGGGGCACCAGAACGTCAGGCTTGAGCGACTCTGCAGAGATTACTTCCTTCAAAGGGGAGTGAGAAATCAACTGCTGGAGGTGTGCGGCAGGCAAGGAAAGCACTTTTATTTATTATGAGGGTGAGGTTCCTGTCCGTTGGAGGTGAAGAGTGATCCTAGAAGGGAACCGTGATGCTGGAGCGACCTGGGAATAGACATGAGATGCAGGGTGCGGAAGCAGGCGGGCCTTGGGGAGTGGGTGCCTGGAGGGTGAGCTCTTTTCTTGGCAAAAAGGAGAGTGGGGTGGAGAGAGACGCCCATCTGCTCTCCGGTGACATCTGTCCTCCAGGACGGCACTCCTAGGGCTGCCACTGCCTGGTCCATCTCACCATGGTCCCCTTAGCACAGACTCGCTTCAGGTCCTGATACTAGGTGTCCTGGCCTGGGCTGCTGGGTCTGAGAAGACAGCATCATGTAGGCACAAGGGCAGGGATCCCATGTTGTCTGAGCCAGATCACAGATCCTTCTCGCATGGATGGTAAGCTCCTTGAAACCGTTGCAGGCTTTCCCTCCAGGGGCCTCACCTGCCCACTGGTGAAGCAGAGGCAGCTTTCCGTCATCCCCACTCTGGGTCCAGGGCTTGGGGACAGTTGAGGAGAGCTGGGTCTATGAGGCCCTGGCAGCCCAGGGAGGGGCTATTTCTGGGCCAAGCAGGTTGAGCTTGGATGAGGGGAGTCCCCCAGCAGGCTTGGCCCTCGGGTCACCTCAGGCTGCAGGCAGTGTGGATGGGCTCAGTGGCGCTGACAGGAGCCCATGTGGTGACTTGTGCTTATGTCTTTGCAGACCCTCGTTCTGGCTGGGGAATGAGACCCTGAAGGTGCCCCTGGCACTCTTCACCCTGAACAGGCAACGCCTGTGTGAGCGGCTGCGCAAGAACCCGGCCTGCCCGGCCGGCGCTGTTGTGCTGCTGCAGGGTGGGGAGGACGCCCAGCGCTACTGCACTGACACCGGCATCCTCTTCCGCCAGGTGAGCCTGCCTTCCTGCCTTCCTGCGCCTTCAGCTGTGCCCCAGGCCTCTGGTGGTCTGTCCACCCTCCCCCAGCATCAGACCTAGTGGGCCTTGGGAAGCTTTACCCCCAAGGGGACCCTGGAGAGGCTCTCAGAGGGTGGGCCAAGGCCTGGGCACCTGGGGAGCCCTGATTCTAGAGGGGTAGAGCCCTCCTAGCTGTGGATGGGGGAGGAGCTGACGCCAGCCAGTCTCAGCTCTTAGTCAGAATACAGAAAAATGACATTCCTGGGGGAGCAAACAGGCAGGAAGTCTTCATGGAAGAGGCGGTATTTGGAGTGGGCTCTGAAAGCCAGGATGAATTCTCATGAGTGCGTTTGAGAGTGGGTGTTGCAGGCTTGGGGGTGGTATCCACAGGAGTGAATGGTAAGGGGGTGGGCTGGGCAGAGGTGCAGATGGGAAGGCCTGACTTCCTGGGGCCAGATTCTGCCTGCAGCAGGGAAGACACAGGCCGCAGCGGACCGGGAGGAAACATGGGAATGGGGTGCTGGGCAGGAGTTGGAGGCCCTCACATTCATCCCAGCTTGGCCATTGTTGACTCTGTGACCCTCGCTGGGCTTCAGTCCTTGCCCCGGAAGTAGACTAGGGATGCCTTGAGGTTCTGGAACCCTGTGGTAGAGGGTGGCTTAGCTGCTAGAAGCCAGCCCAGATGTGGTGGCCTTGGCTGAGAATCGTAGGCATCACTCAGTTTCCAGGAGCAGGAGCAAGAACCCTCAACAGAGGAACTCACCCAGAAAACCAGAGAGGCCCTGAGCTGGCCCCACTCTCACTGATCCCAGCTCTGTACCCACTTTACAGATGGTGAAACCGAGCCTCAGAGAGGAACTGACTTGCCACAGGGGGAGCCGGCATTATTTAGAATCCCATCTCTGGACTTTAAGGATAGGGCTCTGCTCCCTGCCATGCCCAGAGCTGGTGGGGTTCCACCCTGGGAACTCTGTGTCCTCCTTGGGGGCAGCAGAGCCTCAGGGACATGGCCGTCTGGCATCCAGGCCAGGAGGAGGCAGGGAAATGTGAAGGGGACCCAAATGTGGAGGGGCAGCAAGATGTGGCCTCCGCAGAGGGCTGTGTTGTCATCCCCCCCCCACGCCCCCGCCCGCCATAGGACATAAACGGGCTGTCAGCTGCTGAGAGCGATTGCAGTGAATTTTGCTGAAAGTGGCTCCCCCTGGAAAGTTTCCCTATGCCACGTTCTTGCAGCTGCAAGCCTATAGTCCCCTGGTTGCTAGAGACGTGGAGGTCTCAGTAAGTCTTTTCTGACTAGTCTTGATGCTTCCCGAAGTTTACGTATTCTGTGGTTTAAAAAGCGATCTCCTAAATTCAGCCCTTGGCTCCCTTACTGCTGTTATGCAAGGTTAATTTTAGAAGAGATCCTCCTCCGCTTCATACCTTTATAAGATTATTTGAGCTCAGTGTTTATTGCTAAACACTGAAGTCATCAGCTGCCCCAGGGGTGGGAGAAGGAAGGAAGAAGTTCTAAATGGAAGAATCCATTTCCATGCAGATGTCTGGCCTGGGTGTCTAAGTCAAGGTGGCATCTTGCCTACCTTTGAGCATGGGGGCAGCAGAGAGGCGCAGGTAGGGCTGTGCTGGGCCTGTGGTTCGCATGGGCACCGGTGTCCTAGTGTGCCCTGGAGTGCCCAGCCAGGGGCCTAAGGGGTGTGGCCAGAGAGGGGGTTGTGGGTAGGGCTTGGGCACAAACGTGGACCGGGCATCCTCAGAGGAGGCTCAGAGCAGGGTGGGAGGAGCCAGCCAGGCTGCCCCATGCCAAATCCTGGAAGGGGTTGATGGACGGCCCACTGCTGGCATGGGGTGGGGGAGGCAGAGTGCACAGGTGGGGAACTAGATGAGGCTGGGAGGCAGGCTTTGAGAGCTGGGGGGCCTGAGCTGACTCGGGTGCTTGGTCTGACACCCAGTCTCTCTCCCTGTGCCTCATGTTTTTGTCCTGCTGACCTGGTAACCACGGTCCTTGTTCCCATCATAGGAGTCTTTCTTTCACTGGGCATTCGGTGTCACCGATCCAGGCTGCTACGGCACGATCGATGTCGGCACCGGGAAGTCGACCCTGTTTGTGCCCAGGCTTCCTGCCAGCTATGCCACCTGGATGGGAAAGTAAGGAGCAATCCGGGCCTGTAACTGGACCTGCTGACCATTGAGAGTGGGGCGGGGGGGGGGGGGGGGGCGTGGCTTGTGGAGGCAAGGAGGGAAGGAGTAGGGATAGGTGGGGCCATGTCCGTGGTGGGGTCCATTGACAGCCTGCTCAGGGGCAGAGCGTCAGAGCCGCAGCCACAGATTATGGTCATGTTTGTGTGGGGGTACTGTTTGTTAATCTTGAAAGTTTGGATTCATAGCTTTGTCAAAATGCCAGAGGCTTTGGTCCCAGTGGGCCATCCCTCCTGCATGGCATCGGCGGCAGGTGGCCCCACCTTGGGTGTCATGGGGGTTGGCTGGGGTCAGAGAGGGCAGCCTGGGACCCTCTTCCAAGGCCCATCTCTCACGGGGCGTTGCTGGATGCCTGCTGTGTGCCTGTCTCTGGCTCTGTCTCAGGAGGTCCTGCCTCATTCAGCTCACCTGTGAGACAGGACGGTGGCTCTAGGATTGTGCTGTGGGAGGAGTGTGGCATGGGGTGCCTGGGATGTGCTTGGAGGCATCCTCCCCATCGTCCATGGCACCTTCCAGCTCCAGGGCTCTTGGCCGTGTCTGCCCCTCATGGGAGCCATCCTGCCTGCTGCGACGTGCCTAGACAGAAGCCATACTTAACCATGGCTGCTCGAGGCCCTCGGGATCCTGCTAAATGTTCCTCACCTCTGGCGTGTCATTTCCTCCTGGAGAATGATTCTTCCGGGCTAATGTCTAAATTGCAACCCTTGCTGCCTGGTGTCCTTCACCCCCCGCCCCCACTCTTACCAGGGCCTGTGGCTACTACAGGGACCTGTTCCGTGCAGAGGGCCAGACTAGGGCCTCCCCCCCAGCCCTTGAGTGCAAACTCCAGAACCCCCTTTGTTGGCCTGAGAGGTACCTCTTCTGTCGTCTTGGGGCAAGGGGTTTAGGCTTACAAGGTGGTGACAGTTCTGCTTTGAGGCCTTCCGGCCATGGGCCATCGGCTTCACCGTGAAGACAGCTTGAAGAGAAGTGGGCCGTGCTTCCCCTGGGTGTGTTTTCCTGTTTGGCCCTGGGGAAGGAGGGTGGGAAGTGGGCATGCCCGACCCAGTTGGCCGTTGGAGGGCATGGCTGGGCACCTAGGTTCTGGCCTTCTCAGAGGCCCTGGGGCAGATGGACGAAACAGGTCCCTGCTGTAATGAGCAGGTTCCCACAGCCTCCATGCCTGGGTGAGGGCTAATGCTGGAAGGTTGTGCTGCCTTCTTCCCGAGGGACGGGGTGGTGTGTTGGACAAGGTGAGCCCAGCCCAGTGAGAGCCCCCAGAGGCTCCACACCACCCAGCCCTGGGTAAGGATGAGAAGGGGGGTGCAGCATGGGAGGCTGGCCACCGCGGGAGGCTGGCCACCGCAGGAGTCTGCTCTGTCCTCTTGCCCTCCCTGCCCACTTTACCGTGGAGTCTTTTACCTGCAGAGACACTGGCCTCAGGCTTGGCCTGGGCAGGCCCTCCTCAGTGCATTTTTCCGGGACCCCTCCTCCTGCAGGCCTGAAGACATGGGTGCTCATAGGGTGGTTTCATCCCCCCCAGCTCTTGCCCCCCGTCCTGTGGTAGCCCTGACGGTCAGCCTTTATCATCTTCCTGGTTGAATCCTTATGACTTCCCTGCTTTAAAGAGGCACAGGTTCAGGATGGTGGCATGGCCTGTGCAGGTCGCGTGGGTCAATCTTGCTGGAGGCTGGCTGGCTGGTGGGGCATGGCCTCTTCCCAGAGCAGCTCTTGTCACTGTTGGGGCCTCTGGTTCCTTATCTGTGGGACAGTGCCAAGGCTGCTTGTGAGGCACCACCAGGGCTGTCGTCATAGTGATGGGCACTGCAGGGATGGCTCACTCTGTGACACTGAAAGGTGGTGGTAAAGACGCCAGGGACAGGCAGCTTGTAATGTCCAAAAATGGCCCCAGCAACATTTGTGGCCATTCCCGATGGAGAGGTAGACTCCCCCCAACCCCTGCCGCTCCCCCTGGGTTGGGACTTGGTGACTGCCTTGATGCATGAATGTGGCAGGGTCATCCTGTGGCTAGAACCCTGATTCTTTTTTTTTTTTTTAAAGTTTTTATTTATTTATTTGACCGAGAAAGAGATCATAAGTAGGCAGAGAAGCAGGCGGGGGTTTGGGGAACAGGCCCCCTGCTGAGCAGAGCGCGCTATGTGGAGCTGGATCCCAGGACCCTGAGATCATGACCTGAGCCGAAGGCAGAGGCTTAACCCACTGAGCCACCCAGGCGCCACTAAAACCCTGATTCTTGCTCATGGGACACCTGTCCCTGAACCCAGCTGCCATACTGTGAGGAAGCCCACACTTGCCCATGTAGGGGACCTCGTGGATGAGAGCGGGGGCCCGGCTGACGCCAAACCACCCACCAGAGTGGATGACTCCAAGCCCCAGCCTTTGATTCCTCTTGCTGAGGTCCCAGACCTCATAGAGCAGAAATAAGCTGTCCTCTCTGGGCTCTGTCCCAAGCCCAGACCTTTTGAGTCCATAAACGTGAAAAATGTCGGTATGGTTTGCCCCAAAACCCTGGTAACTGGTACAGCTGTGGTGAGGAGTTTTCTGATGAGAGTATAGGTCTGGTCTCCATGAGAGAATTCTTCCAGAACCCTTCCTGCACGCTAGGTGATCATAGAGCTGTGGTCTCTGCCCTGCTTGCTAGTGGCACGTTCCAGAAATAGCTGGGGCCCCAGAGCATGGGCAGCACCCGTGGTTTTGACCGGCTGCCCTCTGAGCTGCCCCATGGCCCTGTCTGCTGGCTCTGAGGGTGCCAGTCCTGCGGGCAGAGGGGCTCCACAGTGAGATGTGGGCATGGGTGGGGGGCTAGGGGAGGGTCTGAGCAGGGCCTTGCTGGGACTTTCTATCTGCAGATGGCGGGGGGAGGCTCCAAGCGCATCTCCCCTTCTGTCTGCTGCTTTGTCTTGTGTCAGGTCGGGAGTGCCTGTCCTGGAGAGTGGACGTCCTCCAGGGCTGTGGGCGGAGAGGCCTTTCCCTGCCTTGGGGACTCCACCATCCAGTGGGAAAATCTGAGCAAATCTCACCATGTTTCCCCACAGCCACCATCTGGGGAGCCAAATGGCACTTGACTGGAGTGTTTAAAACCCAGGACCTGATTGGTCAGGGAACAGCTGTTAGCAGTTGGCTCTTCCTAAATGCAATCCTCAGTAATACAGGAATACTACTCTGTGCTTTGACAATGGCTGGTTTTCAGGGCTGCTCTTACAAGTTTTCCTCCAGGGGCACCTGGGCGGCTCAGTCCATTGAGCGTCTGACTCCTGATTTCGGCTCAGGTCATGATCTCAGGGTGGTAAGATGGAGCCCTGCGTCACGCTCTGTGCTGAGTGGGCAGTCTGCTTGAGATTCTCTCTCTCTCTCTCCTCCTTCCCCTGCTTGTGCGCGCGTGCGCACACACCCCCCCCCAAATAAATAAATAAATCTCCACCAAAAAAAGTTCTCCTTTAGTCTGGCCCTGCTTTTGCTGAGCCAGCTGATTGTGTAAGTGTGGACCTAAAGGCTCGCGTGACCTTTGAGTGTAGAGATGGGTCTGCAGTATGGGTCTCCCCTTTGGAGAGGCTCCGTGCTGGGCAGGCCAGAATGAGCAGGTCGGTCCCTTCCGGCTGCACAGCAGAGAGCTAGACCCTGGCCTCCTACACACCTGGCTCCCCACTGTGGCCACCTGGGCAGACCTTTCCCTTCCTCTGCTCTGGTGTGTCCTTCTCCTGGTCCCCGTGTCCCAAGCCTTTAGGAGAGAAGGCTTGGTTAGAGAGGGGCAGTGGCGAAGGGGTTGGTTGTCTGGGGCTGGAGTTGGGGAGTTGCCAGATCTGATTGTGTGTGGCTGTTCCCAGACGTTCTCGTGATCAATAGGGCTAGGGAGCGAGGCTGGTGGGATTACCTGGCCTTTGCAATCAGAACCCACCAGACTGAACATTTGACCTTCAGCTCCTCAGCTTCCTTTTGAGTCTCTATCTGATGGCTTTTGAAAATCCAGCCGGCAGATACCGCAGTCCAAAGTCGTCTGGGGAAATAGCACTCCCATCACTAGATCTGCCACTTCCTGCGTAAAGGGCAGGCTCCTGTTGTCAGGGCAGCGGACGCTGGGGGGCCTGTTCCTCACCCGGGGCCTTTTTTGGGGCAGAAGTGTGGGAGCTCCTAATTTGTTTTCATTTGGAATCTTTGCTTGCAAAAGTCTGGTACCTTTGGATGTGAGTGTTTCCCGTCATTTTTTGTTAGAATCAGGCTCCGCTGATGGCGGCTTTGGCTGCTGGGGTGCCTGGGCTCCTGGGAGTGGGCAGGGAATTGTCTCTGAGTCTCAGTATGGGGCGGCTTCAGAGCCCATAGAGGGTGAGTGACTTTGGGCCAAGTTGGGGGACCCTCCTAGAACCTTTGCAGCTTGACTGTGTTCTGCCCTTGTCCCTGACTGAGACTGTGGGCTCAAAATGTGAGATGGGATGCCTGATGTGGTGGGCTTTGCCGGGAGGAGCATGCTTATCCTAATGAGGGCATTGCCCAGGAGTGAGTTTCTCCAGGGCTGAGGCCCTGAGCTGGTGTGTGTGTGTGTATGTGTGTGTGTGCGCCCGCGCGTGCACCCGCATGTATGCCGGGTGTAGTGTGGGTACATGTATGGTGTGTGTGTTGGGGGTAGGGTGTGCACGTGGTGTGGGGTGTGTGTGTAGAGTGGGTACGTGGGGCGCAGAGTGGGATGCGGTGCTGTGTATGGTCTGGCACGCGGTGTGCACGTGTGCATGTGTCCAGGTACCCCAAACCAGGCTGCCTCAGCTGCTCTGTGGCCTCGCCCCGGCTCCCTCTGTCTGCAGGGAGGGCTGTCAGGGCGCCAAGGAAGGGGCAGGCCTTCCTGAGGAGGGCTGAGGGAGTCCCTTTGGGTCCTCCTGCCAGAGGTTCTGGAGGATCCTGGCCTCCCTAGTCGGGCAGGTGCCGGCGCCCTCAGCCCTGCTCCCAGGGCTCTTGCTCTGCTGACCACAGGCCTCCTTCTGCTGGCCTCCTGAGCCCTAATGCTCCCCCCGCCCTATTCCCCCTCCCTCATGGGCATGGTCGTCAGGGTCAGTCACCTGCGTTGCTTTGGAAAGATCTGCGTTGCTCTGACCAGGCCCTTGGTTCCTGAAGTGGTTGCTGACCTCTATTCTGGAGTGAGCGCGGCGTTGTGCCGGGAGCAGAATGAGAGGCAGCGGCGCTGTGTGCAGCTGAAGGCGGACTCTGGCCGCTGGAAATTGATGGTGACTGCTGTAATTTGGTCCTCTTATTTATTCATTAACTGCACACAGGTGGGCAGCTGGCCGGCAGGACCTGTGCTTGGCAATTTCATATTCTCGAGGGCTCTGTGGTGTGCGTACCACGCGCATTCCTTTAATGTCTCCTTCCCACAGGAGGCCCCGCACAGGGGCCGCTACTCACTGTGTCGACCCTGACCTTGAGTTCCGGGAAGGGCCTCCTCTAAGTCATGCCGGGCCCAGCTGCTCATGGTGAAGGCACAGATACCTTTGAGTGGGGCGCTCTCTCCTCTCTCCTGCCAGAGCTGTCTCTTCCCTTCAAAGGGAGGATTTCTGGGCTGGGGCCGGCTTCCCCTCTGACCTGCTTTTCCCCGGTCCAGTGGCTTTGTCTGGGTCTCCCGTATGGTGGGATCTGGCATGAGCTCCCTTGCTGGACCCCAGACTCCAGGCAGGGTGGGGTACAGGCCCTCCACGTGGCTGCCACCAGCTTGGCTCTCGGTGGGTCTGACTGTGCCCTGTGACCTCTCCTGCTGGTTCTGTACGGCTCTCGTGGGTGTGTCGCCCCTTCCTCGGATCAACCCTGCCAGATCATGGCTGCTGAGCCGCCGGTGGCTGGCTTAGCCCTTCGGGTGATGTTTAAATTATTTTTACTATAATTAGGCCCCAAACATGAAAAATAAGCAGTATTCAAACTGAATTATCTGTGCCCTTAAGGAAAGAATGGCACGCAGAGTGCCAGAAAAGATGCTCGCAGCTCTTCAGATCGTATCTGTCAAGCAGTCATTCTGTTGAGAACCAGGCCTGTGGTAGTTGGGTGGTTTTGGCCCTTGTGGCCCAACAGGTGCTCTGGACTGTGTCCATCGATCTCTTTGAGGAGGCCACAGGGCACGTGGTGGGGCTGGTACCCGCCCTCGCTTCCTCCCAGATAATCCCGATGTCAGCAGCAGGCTCTCCTGTGAGTTGGCACAGCCCCAGGGCCACCCGCAGGTCAAAGCCACCTCGCGTTGGCCTCCCCTTTACCCCTCCTCCTCCCATCTCCTCTGGTGCTACATTGTGAAGACCTCAGGCTGAGTACATGGAGATGTTCCTGGGTCTCAAGTCTAGGTCTGCAAGACTCAAGTCTAGGCTCACCGAGACTCCCAGGCAGGGTAGGTAGGCACACGTGCCCTGGGGTGGTGGCTGAGATGTTGTCCCCCCACCCCCGGTAGGAAGCATCCCTCGAAAGCAGGTCCTTGGCACTTCTCAAATCTTCTGGGAGTTTGCTGTGGACACCTGTCACAGCTGTGAGCGATGACAGGATGAGGGGCCAGAGGAGGGTTGGGAACCCGCTGGGGATGCAGGGCGCCTGTCCTGGAGCTGGGACCGCAGTTGAGGGTGGACATGGTGAGGATGCTGATGGTCCCACCTCACCCTCTGGCACGTGCCTTTGTGCATGGCGGAGAGTGTCACCACTTAATGACCGAGGGTTAGTGAGCTGTCCATGCTAGACGGAGAACCAGGGCCTCCGGCATCCAGGTGAGGGGCTTATCATCCCCGCTGACGTGATAGCTACTCCAGGCCATGCTAATGGCCGTGCCAGACTTCGGCTGTTTAACTTTTGAGTCCTGTCTCAGACGTGACTGCCTTGTGCAAATGTAATTAGCAGCAAGAGCTTGACACCCAGTGTCCACTTCAGAGAAGACAAAGGGGTGCTCGCTGCATGGGGCTGTGAGCTCCCTGCTGGTCCCCAAGGCCCATGCGTCTGTGCCCTGGTCCACGCTGCCTTCTTCACCATGATCTGTCTGGTGCATGCTTAAGTGGACAGGGGGGTGGTGCAGGGCTCAGAGAGGGCAGAGGGCTTCTTTTTCCTGGCCGGTGATGCTGGTCACTGGTGTCTCAGAGGCACAGGGAGCTCGCTCTCGGAGGTGGTCCTCTCCAAGTCTGGAAGTGTGCTCCCTCCCCTGTCCCCTCTGGGCCTCCCCAGGCACCCTGTCCTTGGCACCCTCACCCCCCTGTCATCTGCTCACCCTTGAGAGTCCAGGAAGCACAGGCTGAAAACCATCTGCTGTTTTCCCCTGAGGCCTCTTTCGGATCTAACACTTGGTGACTAGAATACCATGCGATCACAGGCAGGCTGGGGGCATATCCCCCCATGCTGATGTGGTGCCCAGGCGTGGGATGGCGCAGGATGGCGTGTGTGCGTCATTAGACTTGGCTGGAGACACCCTCCCCTTGTGTGGCTAGTGTTCCACCTCAGGTGAGCTCTGTCACCAGCAGTGACATCAACTCAGCCACTGACCTGGAGGTTGGGGGGGGGTGGGGCGGTGCTTGCCGGCCTGCGACTGTGACCCTGACTGTGACCTGGATTCCTTTGGGAGCGGGCCCAGCCTCCTCCTCCCTTTGTCTCTGTCTTCTCATGGCTGATTTTTCAGGGATGATGAGTAAGCTTGAATGTTTCTCATCACACTTGAGTAATACTGATATTGACTTCTTTAAAATGTTAATTTTAAAACTTTCCTCTGAAGAGGCTCCATGGGAGAGCTCCCTGGCGGCAGATTATTTCATGCCCCAAAGGGTAAGCTGGCTGGCAGCCCGGTGGGCTCTCACCAGCGGTGGAGGGGGAGGTGTGGTCTGCAGATGCTGTGAGTGGCCAGGGTCATGGGCTCCGAGGATGGGCCGAGGTCAGCTGGGGGAGGTCAGGGGAGGCAGGTGTGGTTCAGCGTTCACTCTGTGGCCCACTGCCCTTTGCTTCTGAGTCTGTGCTGGGCCCACCTGCTCTGTGCCGGGACAGGAATGGGCCCAGGGCTTTAGGGTCTGGGCATGGGGGCGGGATGGCAGCCTATGCCAAGTGTGTCAAACCCTGACGCTGGCGTTCCTTGTGCTTTCCTTTGAGGATCCACTCCAAGGAATACTTCAAGGAGAAGTATGCTGTGGATGACGTCCAGTATACAGATGAGGTCAGTAGCAGCCGACTCCTCTCTGAGCCACTGAGGCCTCCCTCACCCCTCGGCACGCTGGCACCCCCTTCCTCCCACTGCCATAGCCCCTGGCTGCCTGTCGTCGTGGGAAGTCGCCACCTGGCTGCCAGCCACCTCAGCAGTGCCCTTGTTTAGATAGCGCAGGCAGGACTGTGAACCTCAGACTTCCCTGAAGAGCGCCCCCCCCTCCTTTGCCTGGCCAGTGTCCCTCACTCAGTGGCTGGAGGCCTCTGGTACCTGGGTTGTGGCTGCTTAGCTTCCCAGAGGGAGGACAGCTTTCATCTCAGGGCCTCCCCACCCCCCCCACCCCCACCCCCCACTCAGCCTGGGCCTTCATGTGTTGGGGAGTTCCCCTCCCCAGCCCTTGCTGGCTACAGATGCCACCACCAGAAAGGCCCCAGACTTTGAGAGGCCTGTGGGGTGGGGTGCAGTTGGAGGGCCCCTGGCTTTAATCTGTTTCCCAGCATGGATGCCCAGCGATGTCATGTGACCTGGGTAGCTGAATGACTGTCCTTATAGGGCTTTGCACCTGCCCCAGCTCCTGACATCCACGGCTGATGGGAAGGGGCAGGGGCAGAGGGGAGGGCACAGCTCTGTGCCCCTATTGGTCTCCTTGGGGGACCAAGGCCCCCAACGCTGCTCCATCCCTGGGTGCTGTTAAAACGCCCACTCCACGTGCAGGTCAGTGCTGGGTAGAACATAAGCACCGAAAGGTCTTTGCCTCCTGCTGCCTGCTGCTCAAGCCCCACCCCTAGCCTGGCAGGATCAGCTGGGTGGGAGGTGGGGCCCTCCCATGCCACATTTCCCCAGCCAGGTCCAGATCGCACATGGACATACCTAAGAGCTGGGGGTCTGTGTAGAAGCAGCTGAGGAGCCCGCCAGCTGGAGACAAGAGCTGCCCCTTCCCCTGGGTAGGATGCAGGCTGTGCTGGGGAATGATGACACCGGGTGGGAGGCAGGTTCGCAGGGATCCTAACCAGGCTCACAGAGCAGCGTGGAAAGCAGTGTGTCTCAGCCCTGGGGCAGGGGTCCGGTGCAGTGTGCTCGGAGGCGCCTGGCCCCAGGCAGGCCTACATTAGGACTTTCCCACACAGAGACACCGTCCTGCTCCGGTTCTGCTGCACTAGAATGCCGTGCCCACCCCTCTCGCTGTGCTCGGAGGCCTGTGCCAGCCCGCTGCACCCCCTGCTGACTCTGGTCCACGCTGGCGCCCCTCCCACCCTGGCTTTTAGGACCTGCGGGGGACATGCTGGATGCTGGCTGTGTTCTGCTCTGTACTCTGCCTTTTGCTGCTTTATATTTGTCTCTAAGGCCCTTCCCCCAGACGTTACTGTCACATCCTGCCTGCCGGGTTCCAGGGGTGTGTGGGTGTCATAGCTGGTTGAGACCCAGGGCCGAACTCAGCAGCCAGGACACGGTGTGTGGCAAAGGTGACTAGCAGGGCAGTGCCTGGTGAGGAGGGCCTTGGGGAAGGAGTGCGGCTCGCATCCACAAGGCCTCGGGCGCCTGTGTCTACAGTACCAGCTGCCTGGTTGGGTTTTAGAGAGGGGGCTTTTGATGGATCTTTCTTTTCTGTCCTAGAATTTCAGTACCGAGTTACTGGGGGTGACTCACAGCATCTAAAGCACCCGTTGGTACACATGTGACCTGTTGTGTTGATCTCTTTGGGTACAGGATCTCAAATAGTCTGAACATTTATTTGCATGCCCCGATGAGATCATTTGCCTCTTACCTGTATCTCGAAGTACTAGGAGTGAGTACTAGGTACTAGGGAGCAGTGACCTGCTCCATCCTCCATTCTGATTTTGTTCCTGACCCTCTCCTTTGGCAGGTGTATCCCTCCTGCCTCCGTAAACTGTGTGTTAACATTATTGCCCTTGGGGACCTTGACCTTCCCAGAAACTTGCGAAGCCCGGATCTCAGCCCACCGAGTCAGAGTGTCTCTGTGCTGCAGCCTCCCCAGCTACCGTTGCTTTCATGTCTGGGGGAGCCTCTGCTCCATTCCTCCTGTGATTTCTGGGGAGAAGGGCGGGGGAGCTGGCCTCCAGATGCAGGGACATGGGTCTGGAGCATTGGGATGGGAAAACCTGTGGCAATCGTGCAGAATCATAGCTCCACAGAGTGAGAGTGGCTACTCTGAGTCTGTATTTATGAAGCAGAATCTGAAACAAAGGCTTCAGAGGAGTTTGGAGGACAGGCTCTTGGGTCCAAGAGCTGTCTGCTGTGTCCCATTGTCATCACTGCCAGGGTTCATCAGTTCTGGCCTGTTACTGCTCTGGTTCTTACTGGAGACGGGGGCTCACTGTTGACAGCTTTACTCTGGGGTGGCCCCTGCAGCTTCCAGTAACCTTGAGACAAATCTTATCCCTTGCACCCTGTCCCTTGGTGGGTCTACAGCTTGCAAAGGAGGAGGCCAAGGCCAAGGTGATGGGCTTCACCTACAGCCCCCTAGCTGGGGCGCAGCAGAATTAGGGGGCAACCCCGGGACCTTTGGATCCCAGAGGGCCTCCACTTCTGCATTTGTCCCATCAGACATGGGGGATGAACGAGGCTCCTGAGAGTCTTTGGTTTTCTGTGGTTTGAAATGGAGCCTGACAATAAACCTGCTGTGTGGAGACACCTGCGCTGGGAGGCCTTTGAGATGCCTGGGGCCTGCTCCTTCGTGAAGGGTGACAGGAAGCCCCTTGCCTCGGGGAAGGGCTCCCCAGGCCAGTTCTATGGTGCTGGCCCCCAGCTGATGTCGGGCAGCCTCGGCCATCTGTGGCAAATCACAGCTGGGAAGCCCTTCACACCTGTCTTTCCTGAAAGAAGGCAGGAAGGCCCACGCCCCAGGCCACAGCTGGTCACTCGCTGTCGTGTACGAAATGCAGGTGTCTGCTAGAGCGGCTGTCATCCCCGGAGATGACCCTGCTTCTAATCATTGAGAAGGCGGAGCAAACGAGGGTTCCCCCAAGAAAGGGGAGCTCAGGAGGGCCTCAGGAGGCGCTTCAAGGCATTTCACGCAGGTGCAGCACCAGGGCTGGTATTTGTGACTCGAGGCGAGCTGGCCCTGGCCGGCAGGGGGGCCCATTGTGCACTTGGGAGCTTTTCTGACATTTACATTTGAGAAGCAAGTTCAGATTTCTAGACGCATTGCCAGCCACCAAGTTGCACCCTTGTTTCAGATGGCCATGAAAAACAGTTCACTTTTTAAAAGATTGTTTTATTCACTTTGGAGAGAGAGGGTGTGTGTGTGCACTAGGGAGAGAGTGCCTTAAGCAGACTCCATACCGAGTGTGCACCCTAACGTGGGATTCAGTGTCATGACCCTGAGATCATGACCCCAGCTGAAACCAGGAGTCGGATGCCTAACCGCCTGCCCCAACCAGGCTTCCCAGCACAGTTCACAAGCTTGGGTGCCTGCGGGGTGAAGCCCGGCTCCCTCAAGCAGCGCGGGCTTTCTGGGCAGCACTGGTTACGGACTGCCCTGCCTGCTTCTCTGGCGCATCAGGGTAGCCTGCAGGCCTGGCTGAGGCCCTGAGTGTGAGGGGGCCTGAGGGGTCCGCAGGCAGCCGCTGATCATCCCTAGGGGAGGGTCCTTGCGCACAAGGCTCTGATCAGTTCTGCCTGTGCCATCTCCCTCAACCTGCCAGAGAGGCATGGCTGCCCAGGACACTGACGCTGGCTGCAGGACAGAGCACATCCGGGGCATTAAACAGCACTGGTCTGTGAGAGCTCAAGGGTCCCCAGTGGCCACCGCTCTGAGGACACTTGGCCCAGTGTTGACAGAGCCGGGCTGTCCTGTGTGCTGGAGCTGCATTTTGAGCAGCTGATGCACAGGCACAGCCCCGTCTCCTTTCTCTCTCAGGCTGCTGAGAGCGTAGTGCTAGTGGGTCTCTGTGCAGGAGGACAGACCGAGCTGCCAGATGGGGAGAGGTGTTTCAACCGCAAAGCTAACCAGGGCCCATGCAGGCAGTCGTGGTCAATCAGACACTGCGCTGCCGGAGCCTGCAGATGCCCAGCCTGCCCACTGTGTCAGCTTTCCGGCCGGCCGTGCATCCGGCGGCCTGCTTTCTCCATCATTCCTAACCAGCGTGTCCCCAGCCAGCGCTGGGAGAAAGACCATCAGACCACACATTTGGGATCTGGCCCTCCTCTTTGTCCCTGGCTGCCTGCTCACTGCCGTTGTTGACAGAGCCATTCTGTGCCCATGAACGGAGACCCTTCATGTCGACATGACAACACACCCAGAGGCCCAACACGCACGGCTCTTATTCCTTCTAATGAGTCCCCCCCTCCTCCAGGAGGGCCTTCGGGAGTGGCAGGGATTCAGCTGAGCTGTTGATGTGTGCAGCACAGAGGCCGGGGTGGGGGGTGGGGTTGGGGGTCTGCAGTTCCAGAGTCAGAGAGGAGGGTCCGGGGAGGCAGGGCCTTGTGCGCCATTGGGGGAGGAAAATTGGCGCATATCTGGAGAATTGTCTGGCCACCAGCATCAAAAACCTCAAGGACGCATATGGCTTTTCACCCAGAGGTGTCACTGAGTCTCCCTTTTTTTTTTTTTTTTTTTCTTTAAGGAAATACATTTTTAAAGGGATTTGTGTTAAGGAAATAGACTTGTCCAGAAGAGTGTTCATCGAGGCATCACTTTTGCTAGTTAATTGTTGAAAGTTATTAAAGTGTCCAGCAGAGGCATGAATGAATGAACTGTGCCTTGTCCACGAAGAGAACCATACAGCCGTACATTCAGCTCTGGCCTCTGCTCATTTGTAACTGTGAACCTGGGCAAATGATCGAACCTGTCTGTTTTCTCATTTGTGAAATCTGGACATGAGTAACCCCAGCTTCCCGAGTGGTTAGATGAGATGATGCCTGGAGTGACCACGGCCATGATCGGCGGCTCGCTGGGCATTTCCCCTCCCCGGCCGGTAGTGACTGGCAAAAATCACGCGGTTGGAGAATACTTCATCTCAGGAGGCAAGTGAAGTGTGTAACTTCATAGGATCCAGATGTCATTACAGATCTCTGTTTTCATGTGCAGAGATAAAAAGTCTCTGGGGAGGAGATTGTAGGTGTATTTTACCTTCTTTCAGTTTTCAGTATATTCCAGGTTTTCTCTGGGAGCCTCTCAGTATTAAAAAACATGTATATACATATGTCAAAACTTATCAAAATGTGCACTTTCAATATGTGCATTGTAGAGCATGTCAGTGATAGCTCCGGAAAGCTGTTAAAACAGCAAACAACAAATCCTTCTCACGCTCGCTCGTGTCAGGTCTCAAATGAGTTTTGGGTGGGAACGGGGGGCTCAGCTACAGCAGGGGCCTTGGTAACCAAGCTGCAGGGCAGACTGCGGTGTGGGGGGCCTGGAGAGGAAGAAAGTGCTCCCGCCAGGGTGCTTGGCGCTCTTGGGTACAAATGTCACAGCTAAAAGCAGCGTGGTGGGCACTTTGCCAAGGAAATAGGGCAGGAGATGAGGGAGTGAAGAACCTGTCTGGGGAACAAAGGGCCTCACTGGTTGATGAGCAGGGAGGAGGCATTCCAGGCAGGGGTCAGAGCCCGAGCAGAGGCACGGAGAGACGAGGTTGCATGGCACACTCATTCATGGGGCTGGGATAGGAAGCAGCCAGAACTCAGGGTTGTGAGGCCTGAGTGGGTCAAGGTGGAGCAGGGATGGAGAGCGGGGATGCGGGATTGGGGACAGAGGGTGGGATCAGGGGATGCTTCCTCCATGCAGTCTAGGAGTTGCATGGGGGTGCAGGGAGGAAGGTGTCTGCCCTGGGGACAGAAGGCTGTTGGGATCGGTGCCTGAGATGTAGTAGGAACAGGTCTTTCAGGAGGGAGCAGATGGATAGAGGTACTGGCCTCCCGGCAGGGGTGAGGGTTAGTTGCGTGGGACTGGCGGTATGAAGCCTGGCATGTGTGTAGGGCCCAGAGGCGTGTGGGAAGCTGTGCCTGATGTAGGTGTCTCTCCCTGTCTGCCACATGAAAGCCATGTGGCGTTCAGAAGTCCTCTGGCATCCGCAAGCCTCAGTCTTCTCATCTGCAACAGTATCACTGCCTGTTTTTACAACCAGCTCCGTAAACATGAGCTGCCGTCATCAAGCCATGGTGGCGTTGTCACCTCTATCAGATGTCTTTGCGGTTGTTCTAAAGTGGAATTTTCTTTCTGACCTTTCAGATCGCCAGCGTCCTGACGTCACAGAACCCCTCTGTCCTCCTCACTTTGGTAAGTGGCTGGTGTCCAGGAACCAGGCACTGGGGAAGGGTTTTAGGGAGCTGCCTGCCCCTCCAGAGGATTGGGAAACAGGAGGAATGGTCATCAGTAACAGGTGGTGACACGTCATTCAGGGCGGCTGAATACAACCGGGACCACGTCCTCCATCCTCCAGTGTCCCTGGGATGGGCCGGGTCCTGCCAGAAGACACCTTGCCTACTACAGAGGTTAAGACGCAGGTGGAGGGTGTATTTGTGTCAGGCTGAGTTGTGGAGTTTGTGGATAAGGATATCAGTATGCTTCCACCGCCTGTCTTCTCCATTGTTAATAGAATTTTTTTTTTAAAGATTTTATTTATTTATTTGACAGAGATCACAAGTAGGCATAGAGGCAGGCAGAGAGAGAGAGAGAGAGAGAGAGAGAGAAGGAAGCAGGCTCCCTGCTAAACAGAGAGCTCAATGCAGAGATGTGGGCTCGATCCCAGGACCTTGGGATCATGACCTGAGCTGAAGGCAGAGGCTTTAAGCCACTGAGCCACCCAGGCACCCCTGTTAGTAGGATTTTAAAAGACACACTGTGGCGTGCGTCTGTGAGGTTGTTGTTGGGCATCAGATTTAGAATTTAGACCGAGGGTCTGCCATGGCCTGGGGGTGGGATGGGGTGCACGGGGGGCCCTTGGTGACTTACATAGGGCTGTGGGGGTCCTCGGGCTGTGAAATGGCTCAGAGAAGAAGCCTGCTTTCTTGCACTTTCTCGACCTTGGGGAGTTTCAAATATGGAGCGTGTACAACTGTTCTTCCCTCCCAGAGTGACCCTTCTCTCCCTCGTTCATCGATTCTTTTTCAGAAATAGTTCTTCTTGGTTCTTTTATTTATTTATTTATAAATTAATTTATTTTTTTTAAAGCACTTCACATGGTGTCTCTTTTCCGCTCTGCTGTTTTAATGGCCGAGCAGGAAGATTACGTGAGATGAATGTGGTCAGAGATGGCCCGGTGTGTTTTCTTTAGGGAGCATTATTCAATGTTGGCCTGTTGTTCTTGAGGAGGAAGGGCAGTTTAGAATGCCTTGCCTCTCCGGGGATGACATGCTTTTCTCTGAGTCCCCTTTTGTCTCCTCTCCTGAGTTCCACTTGGGGTCTCCTCCCAGTCAGGGAAAGGACAGGGAGGTACCACGGCTCCGTGGTGTCACTGAGAAGTGCCCATCACGCCAGAGTTGGGTCCTTCCCACGTCTCCGGGAGGGCTGGGTTTGACCGAGCTTTTTGGGCCCTGTCAGTGGCGAGTGTGTGCACACTCGTGTGCATTGAGAGAGATGGGGCCAGCCTGGGGGAGTAGATGGGGTGGCGGGGAGAGCAGTCTCATAGCCCCATCTGTGCCTGCACAGTCTGAGCTGGTTTCAGCAAATTGGTCTGATGGAGGAGGCTTTCATTCCCCTGGGATGCTGTTTGTGTGTCCCTTTCCTTTCCTCTGTGTTCAAGCTGCGGCAGAAAATGGACAGCTTGCCTTTGTGCAGGGGTGGGAGGGCGGGCTTGGCTGGGAGTTACCTGAACGGCAGGAAGGGATGAGTTTGCTGGGCTGGAGCGGGGGCTCCTGAGGCTGGATGGAGGAGGCAGGCCCTCCCCTGCAGGTGGTGGGGACCCTGTGGGGTGGCCCCATGTGCTGAGTCTGCCTTTCATGTTCCCCGTGTCTCTGCAGCGTGGCGTCAACACGGACAGTGGCAGTGTGTGCCGGGAGGCCTCCTTCGAGGGCATCAGCAAGTGAGTCCTGGGGCCCCTGGAATGGTCTCCCCCTCCCCCACTCCCCTCTTCACTGGGAAGCCTTGCCCTGTGTGCAAGCTAAACACAAAATACATGAACAGGAGGATGCTAAGGGGTCAGATCATGTATTTTGAGGAAATGTTTAGAAAAATAATTTGCCTAATATCGCTTCAACTTCTGCTTCTCTGTTGAACTCCGCAGTGCGAGTGCCGACTGGCCCGGGCTTGGGGAGCGTGTGCGGGGCGAGGGGGCCTGCTCTCCCTCTAGAGGCCTCCTCTCAGCTCTGTGGTCTTTGCTTTTCTCAGCCCCTCCCCTCAGTCCTGGCACTGACTTCTCCCAGCCTGAGTCGTCTGTTGCCCCAGTCTCAGCTAGGGACCCCCTTAATTGCCCTCGCTCCCTCGTTTAGCTCCAGGCTGGTCCTCCAAACCCCATTCCCCGGCCTGGGCCTCTCCAGGCAGGAAAGCAGATGTGGGCCTAAAGTAGGGCACCTTGCCCTCCTTGTCTCCCTTACACCAAGGCCCTTGGAGAGTGCTTCCTGCCAGCTGGGCTGTGTCCCCAGGCCAGCTGGGGACTGGCCCTGGGGTGTCTGTGGAGCCCTAGGCAGTAGCAGAGGAGCCCTTGGGGGGGACGCCTGCTCCCCCAGGCTGCTGAGTGTGGACTGCCCCCCCAGCCTTGATTCTGGGCCTCCATCCCCAGCCCCTTCCCCACCACACTCAATCTGCGCCACTGCGTCCTGTCGTTCTTTGGTGGACTGAGGCGGTGACAAAGGAAGTGCCTTATAATTATGTATGAGCCTGAGCCACGGGGAGTTGGTGCGTCTGTGTGATGTAGGGGTGATTAGGAAGGATTATGAGCTCATAAATATGTATCACTCCCCCAATGATAAGAGTGATGGGATGGGAGCTAGTATCCCGTTTGCTTCTCATTGCTCAAAATCCCTGCATCCTCTTGGGAATTTCCCCAGAGTAGCCACGTGCTTGCTCCTTGAAATGTTGGCCTTGGAGCTGCCATTCCATGCGCCTCCTGCCCCCCCCCAACACCCCTCCAACCCCGCCCGGCCCCAGAGCAGAGCAAAAGGCCTGGGCCCAGCCTCCCCTGGTCCCCCAGCATGGCCTGCCTCAACCAGCACCAACATCTGTGTTCCCATGGGCTGGCCCCACCAGCCTCCCTAGGTCTCTGCCTCGTGGGGCGGGCCCTGAGTGGGAGGAGGGAGCCCTCACGGTCACCTCTCGGACCAGTGCTTTGACCTTAACAGAGCTTGCCCTCTGAGCCTTAGCCCCCCCCCATGCATAATGGTGTTGCTGGGGCTTACCATGGGGGGGAAATGGGATCCTGCCCTCCCCCAGAGCCTGGCATGGAGCTGGTGCTCAGGAAACAGGTGTTCACTCATTCACAAGCACATCCCCATGCAGCCCTGTTGCTCCCTGAGCCTTGGTCTCTGCATCTGTGCAGTGGGCCGCGTGGACTTCGGGATCACTGATCAGAAGATTCCAGTGTCAGTGAGTTGCAGGTTCTTCACCTGCCCCCTCCAGAGGCTTCTGGTGCCGAGACTGCCTCCCCAGCACCCCGGGAACAGGTCTGGCAGGTGGTATGGCACGTATGGGAGGGAGCTCTGGATGTGGCCCCCAAGAGCAGAGCACTGCTGGCCGTTCCCCAGGTTTTCCCAGAGAGGAGGCGTGGGAAGATTCCAGGGATGTCACGGTCAGTGGGCCATGGAAGCTAAGGCCTCTTCCCTAGAAGGAGTCCTGCCGTGAACATATGCAGACCTTAGCCTCTGGCCCCTGTTGCTCTGTGGGACCCCTCAGCTTCCACCAGGAGCCCCGAGGAGCCTGTGTGCTGCCCAGCCCCCACCCCACCCGGCATTTGGAAGCTGTTTTGGAAAGCCAGGCACTGCCTTAACCTTGCTTGTGCTCCCCAGGCCCTGGCTGGTCCCTCTCTGATCTGTAGGCCAGTCCAGATGGGGCTGACTCTGGGGTACTCCCCGGCCCCTCCCTGCTGGGCCGAGAGCCTGCCCCCGCAGGCCAGTGCTGGGGGCTTGGTCCCCAGTGTGGTTGACACGCTGCTGGTGAGAGCCCTTCCACGTGTCTCTGCCTCGGAGTACCTGGCCTGCCTGTGGTCCTCCCGCCCTTCCCTCTGGGGCCCACTTTGAGTAGCTTGGCCGTCGGGTTCCCTGTGGGGTAGGAACCTGTGGGGGTGCCCTACCCTGCATGCCACAGATACGCCTTCGGACCCTGGTCTCTGCCTCCAGCTGCTTGCTGGAAGGTCCTGTCTGTACTCGCGGGCTCTTGGGTGCTGCTCAGTCCCCCACCTCCCACTCACCTGGCTGCCGGCACCTCGACTCGGTCCCCTCGTGGTTCTGCCATTGTCCTTGAGGGCTGCGTCTGCTCAGCCACGTTCGCCTGCCTGCCGCGTCTCCAGCTGCTTGCTGTGGGTAATAATAGCCTGTTTCCTAAGCAAGATGAGGCTTGCTATTGTCCTACTTTCCATCGGTGTCTATCGCCGGTTGCTTCTTACTGCCCTAGTAAAGCATCTTATTCCTGGGAATTTGGGTTTTGACCCTTCTGAACGTCTCTGAAACACCTCATGTCTTGCATTTTTGATTGACCTGCTGTGGCAGAAGTTTGGGCTCTAGGTTTATGCTGTTGGGCCATCCCAGGCAACCTTTGTCCCTTGGTCCTGGGGGAGAAAGGAGCTTCTCGTAGAACAGTGGCCTCACCTGTCTGCCCAGTCCAGACCTCCTGGGCTCTTGTCCAGTTGTGCATTCGTCTGTGACCCTCTCTCCAAGTTGGCTCCTCAGCATTGGCTGCCTCTGGGTCTGTGACCTTGGTGGGGCTGTGGTTTTGGTCCTGGGAGACCTCAGAACTCTCTCAGGCTCTTCAGATCAGGGACAGGCCACTTGATGCCCACGGCAGGGAGTGTGCCCGGGCTCGAGCTGGTGAGGATGGTGGAGAACCGGAAGCAGACGGAACCAGAGGAGAGGAGTGGGGTGGGGGTGGTTGACATGTACCAGGATTTCCCTGTGACGCGCAGCCCCTGGGGTCACCAGGAAGGGTGTCTCTGTTCTCCCTGGGGTGACAGAATCAGGCGGGGACAGTCGGCTGGGCTTCGTGCTGAGTTTGGGCTCCCAGGCCACAGCTCCGTGTGTGGTCCCATTGGAGCAGGGAGAGCTCCCACAGGAGGCGTGGAAGGATCAGACACCCCGTGGGCTCTAGCTGGAGATTGGGGTCAGGTGTTCCTTGCCAGGCCCTGCTGAGGGCATGGCCAGGGCTGCTTTGTGGCCGGGGCTAGCCGGAGCTGAGGTGAAGAGGGTGGGGGTGTGGTAAGGAGGGCATGGGGCCTTTCTCTGTGGGCTGCCTCCCATGGCTGCCTGGAGCAGTTGGTTCCTGTAGCCTGGGAGCAAAGGCAGACATGATAAATCTTTGCTAGCATCTGAGGAGGTTGGCTTTGGAGCAGGTTGTTCTGAGACAGAGAGAGGCTGACTGTGGAGGAGAAGACAATCTGCAGGGCCAGGTGGCCCCCGGGGGTGCCTCTCTGGCAGGAGACAGTTCCCTCTGAAGCCCGCAGACTGCCCGGGAGCCCTGGGCCAGGGCAGTGAGCTGCCAAGGGCTCAGTGTTGCGTCGTCGTCTGAGAGAGAAATATGGTCAATATTTTACATCAGCTGGTTATTCAGGATAAGCATATTTCTTATCTTTTGGCATTTACTTAAATTGCCTTGCCTATTTGAAGACAATTGGTTACAAATTAATTCCATTTAAATAAGCAGTTAAATATGAAATTGCTGAATTTGGGGGTTGCTGATGTAGGGATATAAATATTCAAAGATGGGAATTTTTAAACCCAGGAAAGAGAGGGACTTTGTTAAAACCTGGTGATCACAACAAAATTCCGGTCTGTGTGGTGTGTGTTGGAGGGGGTGGGACTTGGCTTTGTGGTTTCTGTTAACTTGCATATCAAGGTAGTGTTGGTTAACTTGAGCTTCTCATTACGACCCATGGGATCTCCAGGAGGACACAGGAACCCAGCCCAGCCCCTAGCCGGCAAGGGCAGTGGTGCAGCCTTGTGGGGCATGTTCTCCAGCGGGCCTCACCTTCTTTCTGGGGTTAGAAACTGCAGGGGGAAGGCCAGGGTCAGGGGTGTTTGGGCCCATCCCACTCACCCTATGTCACCCGTCCCTCAGGCTGAACCAACCCTCAGAAGCATCCGTGGGTTTGTTGTTGTTTTTAACCCAAATGAATACATACTTGTTAGAGAAAATGCTGACTAGGACAGAGGCAAAAGCAAGGAATATCCGAATTTCATCACCCCAAGTTAGACCCTGTCAACGCTGAGGGGAATGCCTTTTGGACTCTCCTGTGTGTGTCTTGAATGTTTCTCTATTTTTGTATCTGAGTACCCTTTTGCGTGGGTCTGTGTGTTTCTGCATGTGTGTGTCGTTAGGGGGGATCTTTGTTTATTAGTCTAAGCGTATGCCTGTCTGGGGGTGTCTGTGTGTGTGTGTGTGTGTGTGTGTGTGTGTGTGTGTCTCTGCCGGTGCCTCTTCCGAAGTACGTGCCTGCCTGGGTGTGTGTTCATCGGATCTGTTGTGTTTGCAGCTGTGTTTGTGCGCTGGGTCACTTTGTTGCTCATGTGTCCGTAGGAGCATGTTGGTATGTGTACCTACATTTCGTAAAGTGAAATTTTACTGCTGTGTTTGCCTGCTGAGTAGACAAGCCATTGCTTTTCCCACCATCAAAGTGACATTTGGGGAAATGGGAGGCAGAGTCTATGTTGTCATCTTGATTTATGTCATCTGCTGCTCTGTTCTTGACTCTGAACCATGTTGGCTGCCTGTGGTCTCTTTGATATTTCACAAGTAGGGCTTTGATTGTACAACATTTCAGGTGACTTTGAGTTGGTCTTATTTGTGTACTTAGGAGTCCCCAAAGCTTTGGAGATCTGGAATCCTCCCAGCCTGCTAATGCCCCCTTCCCACTTCTCTCCTCTGTCCTTCCTTCTTCAGGGGGCTCAGCCAGTGGTGGGGGTGTCGCTGCATAACCACGGCATTAGATGGGTATTTTCAAACATCAGTAACGGGGGCCAAGGAGAGTTCCTGCGTGGTCATGAGCCAACATGCCCTGTGTATGATATCCTGACCTGAGATGGAACAGGGTTAGGAATCCAGGGAGTTGAAGGCTTGCCCCTGCTTCTCTGCCGAGGCCTGCATTTTGTGCTGGGCCATGCCAGGCTTCCCCAGCTCTCTCACTGCCAGCTTGAGCTCTGGGTCACACATGATGTACCCCGACCGGATCTTTTTGTCTCTTGGGGTCCCCTTTCCATTATGTTTATCTTATCAAAGAACGACTTTTGGCTTTATAGATTTTTCTTTACGTTTGCCTTTTATTTCATTGATTTCTGTGCTTTTTAATTTCCTTTTAATTTCTTTAGGTTTGTTTTTCTCTAGCTGCTTCTTTTTTTTTTTTTTCCAAAGATTATTTTATTTATTTGACAGACTGAGATCACAAGTAGGCAGAGAGGCAGGCAGAGAGAGAGGAGGAAGCAGGCTTCCCACCAAGCAGAGAGCATGATGTGGGGTTCAATCCCAGGACCCTGGGATCATGACCTGGGCTGTAGGCAGAGGCTTTAACCCACTGAGCCACCCAGGTGCCCCTTTTCTCTAGCTTCTTGAGAGAAAGGAAAGGGTAATGCTTGGGGATTGGAGCTTAGATAATTTTCTTTTTTTTCTTTCTTTCTTTCTTTTTTTTTTTAAGATTTTATTTGTTCATTTGAGAGAGATAGAGCACAAGCAGGAGAGGCAGAAGGAGAGGGAGAAGCAGACTCCCTGCTGAGCGGAAAGCCCAACATGGGGCTCGATTCTAGGACCCTGAAATCATGACCTGAACTGAAAGCAGATGCTTAACTATCTGAGCCACCCAGGTGCCACATAGATCATTATTTTCAATGTTCTTTTCCACCAAATGCATTTAGAGCTATCAGTTTTCCTCTGGGCATTGTGACATTTCACACTTTTATTTTCTATTTTTTTTTTTTTTTTTTTTGAACAGCAAGTCTTTAGAAATCTGTTGGTTAATTTCCAAACAAATTGGGATTTTATAGTTTTCTTTATGTTACTGATTTCTAGTTTAATTCTGCTGTAATCAGTGACCATTTTCTGTATCTCAGTGCTTTGAAAATTGTTGAAACTTCCAGTGTATGATGACTATGATAAATGTTTCTTGTGGGCAGTGTTGAACAGAAGTGGAGAGGAAGGGCCTTGTTCCTCATCTTAGGGGAAAGCTTCTCATCTTTGATCATGAACTTTGACATAGGCTGTGTGTTTTTTGTATATACCTTTATCAGGTTGAGGAAGTACCCTTCTCTTCCTAGTTCATTGAGTGTTTTTATCACAAAAGGTTGTTGGATTTTATAAGATCCTTTTTCTACATCTGTGTGATTTGTTCTAAATTTTGTTAATATGGTGTATTATATTTGATTCTTTTTGTCTGTTGAAGTAACCACATTCCTGAGTTAAATCTGACCTGGTCAGATTGTTTGATGGATTTTGTTTGTTAGTATTTTGTTGAAGGTTTTTTTGGTGCCAATGTTCATGAGAGACTTTCATCTGTAGTTTTCTTGTGATGTCTTGGTTTTGGTGTCAGGATAATTCCGAGCTTGTAGAATGAGTTGAAAAGTGTTCCTTCCTCTTCTAGTCTTAGTGAGAGTTTAAAAGGATTGTTGTCAATTTGTTTTTAAGTATTTGGTATTCATGATGCAGGCATTAGATCCAGGGCTTTTCTTTGTGACAAGGTTTTGATTTCTAATTCAGTCTCTTTACTTGTCATGGGTCTATTTGGATTTTTTTTTTCTTGTGTCAGTTTTGGTAGTTTGTGTCCTTAGGAATTTTTCTTCTTCTTTTTCTTTTTTAAAGATTTTATTTATTTATTTATTTTTGAGAGAGAGAGAGAGGGAGAGAGAGAGAAAGAGAGCACAAGCAGGGGGAGAGGCAGAGGAAGGAGGAGAAGCGGAGTCCCCGCTGATCAGGGAGTCAGACATGGGGCTCTATCCCAGGACCCTGGGATCATGACCTGAGCTGAAGGCAGACATTTAACTGCGGCACCCTGGAATTTGTCTTCTTCATCTCAGTTATCCAGTTATTGCCATATAGAAAAGACATCTTACAATCCTTTAATCCTTTTAATTTTTTTAAGTAATAATCCCCCCCCCTTTTTTTAAAATCTCTGGTCAGTAATTTGAACCTTCTCTTTGTCTCTTGGTCAGTCTAAAAGTGTAAATTTTGTTGATCTTTTCATAGAACCAATTTTTATTTCATTGATTTTTCTCTACTGTTTTTCTATTTTCTATTTCACTTATTTCTGCTCAAATCTTTATTATTCTATTCTTTCTGCTTGCTTTGGGTTTAATTTCCTCTTTTTTCTAGTTTCTTTTTAAAAGATTTTGATTTATATTTGTGAGAGGGAGAGAGAACGTGAGTGCACACATGTGTTGGGGGAGAGGGCAGAGGGAGAGAGATAACAGAGAGAATCCCAGGCAGGCTCCACGCTCAGGGCAGAACCTGACGTAGGGCTTGATCTCATGACCCTGAGATCATGACCTGAGCTGAACTCAGGAGTCTGATGCTCGACCAACCGAGCTACCCAAGTACTTCTTTTTCTAGTTTCCTAAGGTGGAAGAGTAGGTCATTGGTTTGAGATAATTTTCTTCCTTTTTAACATCGCTATTTTTGGCTATTAACTTCCTTGTAAGCACTACTTTCGCTGCATTCTGTAGGTCTTGGTATGTTGTTCTTTCGTTTCCATTCGTCTCAGTATATTTTCACTTTCCCTTATGATTTCTTCATTGACCTATTGGTTATTTAAGAGTGTAAAATGTAATTTCCACAGATGAGTGAATCTTTCTTCTGTTATTGATTTCTAATCTCATTCCAGTGTGCTTGGAGGACACACTCAATATGATTTCAGTCCTTTTAAGTTTGTTGGGAGTTGTTTTATGGCCTAGCGTATGATCTGTTCTGGAGAATGTTCCATGTGCACTTGAGAAAATGGGTATTCCCCTGTAGGGTGGTGTAGTCTAGAGATGTCTGTTAGGTCTAGTTGGTTTACAGTGTTGCTTACATCTCCTGTTTCCTTGTCAGTCTTCCATCTAGTTGTTCTGTCCATTACTGCAAGCGGAGTACTGAAGTCTCCAGATGTTGTGGGTTTAATTATTTTCTCTTCAGTTCTGTCAGTTTCTGATTCCTGTATCTTGGGACTGTGTTGTTAGGTGTGTATAGGCTCATCATTATTATGACTTCTTAATGAATTGATCTTTTAATTTGTATAAAACGTCCTTATCTTTAGTAAATTTTTTTTTTTTTTTTTTGCCTTAAGCCTTATTTTGTCTGATGTGAATAGAGCTGTTCCAGCTCCCTTTTGGTTTCTGTTTGCATATATACACCTTTTCTCATCCTTTCATTTTCAACCTATTTGTGTCTTTGACTCTGAAGTGTGTCTTTTTAGAGCATTTACTTGTATCATATGTCTTTTAATTCCTTCTGCCAGTCCTTGCCTTTTAATTGGAAAATCAAATCTGTTTACATCTAAAGTAATTACTGATAAGGAATGACTTCCTTCTGCCATTTTGTTATTAGTTTCTGTATGTCTTATGTCATTTTTGTTCTTCATCTTCTCCATTACCACTTTCTTTTGTACTTAATTGATTTTTTGCAGTACATTCCTTTCTCATCTCCTTTTCTGTATGTCTTAATTATTTTCTTAGTTGTTACCCGGGGGATTACAAATGACCTCTTAAACTTGCGACAGTCTAGTTTGCATTAATGTCAACTTCATTTCGGTAGCGTACAACAGCTTTGCTTCTGCAGAGCTCCATGTTGTCCCCTCCCTTGTGCTGTTGTCGTGTACAGATTGTGTCTTCACCTGTTCCGTTGGTCAAAACAGATTTATGATTATTGCTTTATATGGTTGTCTTTTAAGTCAGAGAGGTGGAGAAAGGAGTTCCAAAAAAATACATTTACTCTGTCTCTCTACTTGCCTATGTCATTACTTTTATCAATGCCCTTTTTTTCTTACGTGGATTCAAGTTACTCTTGTGTTCTTCACTACAGTATGAAAGATTCCCTTTAGCATTTCTGGTAGGATAAATCTTGTAGTGATGAATTCTGTATTTTTGTCTCTCTGGGACTCTTTTAATTTTTCTTTCATTTTTGAATCATAGCTTTGCTGGATATAGAATCCTGGTTGACACATTTTTTTTTCCCCTTTCATCTTCGTGCCTTTTTGGCCTTTATAGTTTCTGATGAGGAATCAGCCATTAATCTTACTGAGAATTCCTCATATGTCACACATTTTTTTCCTCTTACTACTTTCAGGATTTTATCTTTGTCTTTTGACAGTTAGATTATATGTCTGAGTGTGGGTCTCTTGGGATTTATCCTATATGGAGTTTATTGGGCTTTGTGGATGTATAGATTCATGTTTTTCATTAAATTGGTGAAGTTTGGGGCCTACCAAACTGGCCAAAATTCTTCTCCTTTATCTTTCTCCTTTTCTCCTGGGACTCCTATTGTGTGTATGTTGGTGTACTTGACAGAAGAGGCTATGGCTGCTAGGTCCACCTAGCTAGAGTGGAGGGTGGTTTTCTGCAGCCGAGCAGCTTGTTCTCTAACTGCATTTAGAACATTTGGCCTGGCTGCAAGTCTGCTTCAGGAAATGAGCAGCAGGCCTTCTGTGGGACAGACGGTCATGAAGTTAAAGCTTGGGGCCCTTTCTGGGTCATGTCCTTTCTTGGTATGCCTTGGTATTTCTTGCAGGGAGATGATAGACCATTGAACTAATAGGCTTGATTTGTTTTTCCTCTACAGGTTTAACGTCAATAATACCATTCTTCATCCGGAAATTGTGGAGTGGTGAGTATTGCCTGTGGCTACTTTGGCTGTTTGTTGTGCTCCACTCAGGAAGCTGAGAGACCCTGCTGCTGCCACCTCGGACAAGATGGTTCCCAGAACAACTCTCTTCTGTGTGTGTGTGTGTGTGTGTGTGTGAGAGAGAGAGAGAGAGAGAGAGAGAGAGAGAGAGTTGGTCTGATTTTCCAAAAGGGCCTGAGTCACTTGAATGTCAGTTAAATTTCTCTCATCTTTTATTTAGGAGACTTTTAAAAACTCTTGCCAGGGGCACCTGGGTGGCTCAGTGGGTTAAAGCCTCTGCCTTCGGCTCAGGTCATGATCCCAGGGTCCTGGGATCGAGCCCCGCATCGGGCTCTCTGCTCAGCAGGGAGCCTGCTTCCCTTCCTCCCTCTCTACCTGCCTCTCTGCCTGCTTGTGATCTCTGTCAAATAAATAAATAAAATCTTAAAAAAAAACAAAAAAAAACCCCTCTTGCCATGAGTGAGCCATGCTCATATGGTCAGTTAGAATAGATAATGAAAAGAGTGAAAATAAACGTCACACATAATCCTATTACCAGAAAGGTAAACATGTTTTCTCATGTTGCTTCTACGTCCTGACAAGTTGGCATCCTGTTGTACGTATTCTTCTGTTACCTCTGTTCCTTCCTTGCTGATACTAGCAGCCCGTCTGTACCTGCAGCACACCTGGTTTCTGCTGGGTCACAGCAGGGTAAACTTTCTCAGGTTGGGCTTCACCTCTGTGGGCCTTGGAAGTGGCCCTCCCACCCAAGCAATCATTTTGGCCTCAGACTGGAGACTCAGTTGTAGGGCAAGAGAGGTAACGGGTTGCTAATTAGGAGGCTGCTGCAGGATCCAGGTGGTCGTGCAAGGGTACTGTGACGAGTTGAGAGCAGAGTGGTGGGCAAGGGGAACGCCCCTGGTAGGAGCTGGCTGTGACATGAGTGAAGGCTGGAGTTGAAGCTAACTCCAGTTTTTTGTCCTGAACAGCTGGGTAGTGTGTTACCGGGACAGGGATGACTGGGAAGAGCAGTCTGAAGCAGGTTCCAATGGGAGCGAGGCTGGGCCAGAGGTGGAAATCGGAGCGCCGTCATAAGCATTGGTACTGACCGTGGGAACTTTCTTGGCAGCCACACACGCTCTGAGGACGGGGCCTGTGTCCTTTCGGTACACAGCCGCCTTTTCTCGTCTCTTGTTTGCCCTCTGCAGCTCCCAGCTAACAGAAGAACAAATCCTGGATACTCAGGAATGGGCCCGCACCCACTTATGCCCCACGTGTGACACTCCCTCCTGGCCACTTACAGTTCGGGTGCTTTGGAGACTGTGCTGGGTTGTATGCTCCAGCATCTCCTGAGGGCGAAGTCATTAGTTTTTTACTTTGGAACTTTGCTTTCTTTCTAGCGACATTTCCAAGGCTCTGAGGTGGATTCCGCATTCATAAGAATACCTCCCAACTTTTTCAAAGCCGGCAGCAGAACAAATTTGACATTTGATGGCAGTAGAACTATTTTAGAAATGTCACATTGTCTTTACTGCCTCAAGGGTGTGTTTTAATAGCGTGGGTTCTGGCCTCTGTAGTGACCGCAGTCATTCTCAAGTGAGATCCATGGTGCCCTCTGCCCTCTTGGAAGAAGGGAAGGAAGGGTTCTGGGTGGAATGGCAGGCTGGGCCCTCGTTTCTGGGAGAGTGGGGTTTCTGTGACATCAAGTCTGACACATCTTTGGGCGCCTGTGTCCTGTATGCTTTCATTACCCCCTCCCATCTAGGCCCCATGGAGAGGGGCTGCCTGAGGTGACAGAAAAACCAGCCACTCAGGCACATCCAAACTCTAACCCCAGTCTGTACCCCTCAGCAAGTCACTTCAGTGTCCTGAGCCTGTTTTTTCTGCCAGTGGTGATGAGGTAATACCTAGTTTGTGAAGTTTCACCAAGTGTCTTCGACCCTTCAGGCCGCCATGACAGTTACAACGGCGGGTGGCTCCTGAACAACAGGAATGTGCTTCTACAGTTCTAGAACCTGGGAAATCCAAGACCGAGGTGGTGGCAGACTCAGTATCTGGTGACAACTCACTTCCTGGTCCCTAGATGGTCATGTTCCCACAGTGTCCTCACAGGACAGAAGAGGCGGGCGCTCTCTGGGGTCTCTTTTATAAGTCTTGCCAGTCCCATTCATGAGAGCTCTGCCCACATGACCTGTTCGCCTCCCAAGGCTCTGAGTACCAGCACATCGGAGGCTCAGCTTCAGCGTTTCCGTTTTGGAAGGAGACCCATTTCAGCCTATAGCGCTGAGCCTTGGTTTTTTCACGGGCGAAGCAGAAGTGCTGTCCCTTGATAGGTGATGGCTCAAGGCTTGAATGAAAGCAGAAGTCAAGTGCTGACTCAGCTTAACACAATGTCTGTTGCTTGTTTTAAAAAAAAGATTTATTGATTTGAGGGAGAGAGAGAGACAGAGTGTGTGATTGTGAGTGTGAGGAGGGGGAGAGGGAGAGAGAATCCCCTCAGACTCCCACTGAGTGCAGAGCCGATGTGGGGCTCAGTCTCAGGACCCAGAGATCATGACCTGAGTTCAAGGCCTGAGCCACCCAGGCACCCCTGTCTGTCACTATTTGAGACTGCTTGCGTGTAAGGCACTGTGCTAAGCACTTGAAGCTTGTCCCCTTCCTCAAAGAGGCATTTTGTTTATGCTCTAAGCTAGGTGCTCTGATTATCCCCATTCTACAGATGAGGAAGCTTGAGACACAGGAGGGGATTTGCCTGAGAAAAAGCCAGGAGCTGAGCTGAGTCTAGGTGGGTGATCCCAGGATCTTGAGCTGCCTCTTGTGTGTCTGAGGGGTGCCCTGGAGGGGTGGGAGTGGGGGGGTTGCCTGACCTTCAGCCGTGTTCTCAGTCCTCTCTTGACCACGGGACATGCAGGGGTGTTGCAGAGGGCCTGGCTTGGCTCTGTGCGAGGCCAGGGTGTAGTGAGGGTGGGGGCCTGAGGCTGTGCAACTGAGCTTCGTCCCCCTCGATGTCCCCCCCACTCATGTACCCCACCTCCCCTTAGCCACTGGGCTGGGGGTGTGCGATTCCTCCTGGGGCCTGTCTGATAGAAGCAAGGAGCAGCCTCTCCCAGCACAGAGGATGCTTCCTGCCTTGTTGTTTCTTAGATGTCATTCATTTCCTCTCTATGACTGCTTTATTGTTTCCCATTCGCTCGAGCAGTGCCTTTTTGATTTCCTGTAAATTCCTCTATAATCGTACAGCTCCCCAGAAACACGAGATCATAACTGATCATTTCTCTCCTCGTGCCGGGTATCGCAGTTCGAATGTGGAGGTCAAAAGTTGAGGCTGGAGAGCGGGCGTCTCACTTCCATAATTTAGGCTGTGGTTCCTCTCTCCCATTCTGCAGGTGATTAAATCGATCTGGAGTTAGGTTAGGAAATAAAGGGAGATACTTCTGTGCTGTCTTCATAGCTCCATGCCTCGGATCCCGGGGAAGTACGTCGGGAAGCGCCCCAGAAGCACGTCCCTAGTCGCCGCGCGCCTTCTGGGGTTTTAAGTGAGAAGGTGTTAAATTGAGTCACACGCCGATTTTAGAGCTGTTAATTACAGAGTGAAGGTGTCGTGCGTGTATTAATCAGGCAGCGCGGTAGCATATCTGTTTCTACTTCCCTGCCTTTTCTGTGCCCAGGAGATGGCGAGGTGCGGCTGGTTCCGGGGCAGAAACACGGCAGCATCCTGCGTCCCGGGTAACACGTCCCAAATTAGAAAAGATACGTAGATGATGACCTAGATTCTTGGGGGGGTGTGTGAAAAGTATTCCAGTCAGGTTGCTTTTTGTCTCCTCAGGAACAGGCATTTAATCCTACGTTAACAAGAAAGTCGAGAGGACAGTGGGGGTCCTAGGGCGGAGCGAGGCCTCGAAGGACCACGCGCTGGAAGGTGGGAGGTGGGCTGTGGGGCATCAGGCAGAGAGGAAGGCACGCTGGGCCCCGGGCCGGCACACTGAGGTTGGGCCCCCCCCCGCCCCCCCAGCCGTGGCAGCCCGTGTCCGTCTGGCCCACGTCAAGTCTCAAGCACACTTAGCTCACTGCTGAGCGAAGCCGCCATTGTCTTCATGGCTCCGATTTCTTTGAGAGGACTTAGTGATTGAGCCTCCCGAGGATACGTAATTCCAAGTAGCTGTTTCCTTCCTCTCTCTCCTGTTGTGCCGGGATTTTATCCTTTGCGGCACCAGGTCATGGGGTGTGGAAGGAATGGACGTGGGGTCCTATGGCCTTGACTTCCTGCCCGCCGGCTCCCGCACAACCAGCCCCTCTGCACATTCATCTCCGGGAGAGATGGAATTCCTCTCCCTTCAAATGGATGTTGGTCACCACGGTGGCACTTGGATGCTTAGAGACTGATATTGGATATACTTCATCCTGTCTTGCTACTATTTTAATCAGTGGAGCATTCAAACCTCAGCTAATTAATGTCTTAATCCTGGGTTTAATGCCCAGAGGCAGCTTCGTGACCTATGCATATCGAAGGGGAAAAAACCAGATTGCATAAATAAATCTCAGCCAAGTCCAGTTTTTGTCATTTCTGGCCTATTGCAGGGGACTCTGGGCCCGGCGTGGTGGAGGAGCCTTCTCCCCCATCCTGCTCACGGGCAGGGCCACCGGCCTGGGGACTCCGCACGACAGCCTGCATTGCCTGTACATGTCAGCTACCTCCTCTTGCTCGTCAAAGAGCCTGAGCTGTTCTCAGCCCAACCTGTTAACTGCACCTGTGTTGTCCTGTCCCGAGCCTGGGTCCTCTGGTGCCTCTTGGAGGAGGCGGCCTTGGTCTGGTCCTGGCGACAGAAGACTTGCAGATAGTATTTCTTACCCCAACCCCACACATTCTGGGGCCAAACAAGGCTGTGGCTGAGTGGGACACTAGGTGGCCCTCACTCTGGAGGGCCCGGGACAGCACAGGCTAGACCGTGGTGGAATCCTCTTTTTCTTTATCTTTTCATGTCTGGGAGTCATAGAAATAGCCGCATCAGAGTCGGGGCAGTCAATCCTTCCTGAAGATAGGGAGAAACTGCAGAATGCTAGGAAGTCTTGTTATTTTTTACAGTCATCGTAAAAACCGTTTCTGGTGCTTGTGTCCTGGAGAGAACTGGGCCAAGCTGGACGCCTGGGAACTGGGCAAGGCTTAGACCCCAAGGGCCCTGTGGATAATCAGGTGAGCCTGTTCTCAGGGCCTTTAAAGCTTGGATTCATTTGGGCCAGGCCAGTTTTGTTGGAGAACTGCCTTTGTGGCATAATTTGTCCTGGTTTGGGTTGATTTTTTTTTTTTTTAACATGACTTAAAAATAAGTCCTGAGTAAACCAGGTAAAGGCCTGGTTTGTCATCTCCCACAAATTCAAATTGGGAAGGAAAGCAGGCCTCAGCATCATTGGTTGGAAGTGCTGGTGTCTCTGATGGGAAGAGAGTGTGGTTTGGGCACCAAGTCTCCTTGGAGGAGAAGCCAATGGCCTGATTTACTGGGCCCCTCTGCAGACCTGGGTGCTCCCGCTGTGGGGAGGGGCCATGGGGAAAGCCTGTGCCGTGGGCTCCTGTGGTTCAGGTCCTGGCTGCCTCTCCCTAGCCGTGTGGCTCAGGGCGAGGCAGTGGCTGTGGCAGTCTGTGCTGCTGGAGCCTGTGCAGGCTGTGCCCCTGTCCCATGCAGGGCAGGCCTGGCTGAGCGATAACCCACGCTGTCTGCCAAACTCCCCTGGGGTGGGGTGGGGGAAGCCTCTTTTTCTTCTTTGAAAAGAGCCACGAGCTCTCATTTCTGGAAATAAGGTGTTTTCCAGCTTTGGTGCAATGACCAGGTACTATTTCCAACCCTGGTTCCTGCGTGTCTGTTTTGGGCCAAGCCCTTGGGGTGAAGCAACACTGCCCCCCAGGACCACAGCCTTTTTAGGAAGAGACTTAAATGTAAGAGTCCTGCGTATGGTAGCTCTCCAAGGATTCCTATAGATTGCCCTAGAAACCTAGGGAAGGGGTTTTGGGGAGCTCCTCCCCCACCTTGAGAAAGGTGTGGTCCAGGTGGGAGCTGGTGGTGAAAGGGGGTGAACAGAAGAGGTAGGTGGTGGAGACAGGCATGGAAAAGCTTGTGAGTAGTTTTAACTCCATCTGGAGGACATTTAGAGGCCCCCAAAGCTTTTAAGCAAGAAAAAGCCTGGTCGCGTTTGCGTTTCCTAAAGATCCCCGGCCACTGCCAGTGAGCACAGAGGCCTGCAGGCAAGAAGAGGCCAGAGAGCTGTCCAGGCTGGAGGCGTGGGGGCCGGATGGAGAGAAACCGAGGGTCTGAGAGAGGTTGTGGAGGTAGAATTGGAGCCCTTGGTCCTCGCTTGGATGTGGGAGCAACGGATGGATGGCAGGGAGGTGTCTGGGAGGGTGCGCAGGTGTCTGTCTGAAGCAGCACGGGTGCGGCGGAGCTGTGGGGTGAGATGGGGGAGTTGGGGTCACGCTGAGCTGGAGAGCCTGGGGGGCATGCAGGTGCGGGTACAGCGGAGCGGCTTGTGCCAGTGAGTGGGGTTCGGGAGCAGGAAACAGGAGCAGGAAAGGGAGATGGGGCCAGATGAGGCAGGGCTCCCCGTGCTGCTTCTTGGCAGTCCCAGAATGCCTCTGGACTTGGCAGCCGGGGGTCCTGCTCCCACATGTTGGTGAGAGGGGGGCTGGCAGGCTGGGGGGCCGTGGTAGGCTGAGGGAGAAGTGGTGGGGGAGGAGATGGACGAGAGGTTTGAGATAAAACACAAAAGCAGCTCTTGTTCTCCTCGCAAAGCAGAGATGGTAATGGTTTGCCTTCCAGAAATGTGGCAGAGCAGTGGGAGGTAGAGCTTGCCTGGTGGAGGAGGAAGAGGTAAGTGGGTGGTCACGGAGCTCCCAGTAATAGGGGCCACATGGAGTCCAAGCCCAGGTGTGTATGCTGGGGTGCTGAGCCTGGTCTGCCCCTTCCCTTGTAACACGAATGTGGAGGGGAAGGCTTGGGAGTTCAGAGAGGAGGGGATAGAGATGAGCTCATTCGTCTGCTGAGAAGGGGAGGAGGCCCAGGGAGGGGAGAGATCTTAGGGAGATAAAGCTGAGAGGAGCCCTCTGGCCCTGCGTGTCCCCTTGAAGCTCATGGCAGAGCTGGGACGGTGCCAAGGCCGGTGGGGCTGGTGACTGGGAACTTGCTGTACCATCCGCCCAGTCAAAGATTTGCCTGTGACCCTTGTGGCCCTGGATCATGCTTGCAGCGGGCACAGGTTCTGGCTCATCCCTCGTGGGGGTTTGGCCCAGCCCGTGTAGCTGTGTGGCATAGGGCCTAGGGGTCTGAAATGTTGGCAGGACAAACCAGGGATCTGAGTGGAATAGGGGGGCAGAGGGCTGGGGTTGGGCACAGCCTGGGCCTGGCTCCCCTGTGTTGTTACTCTGGTCATCACTGCACTTGAGAACAACGACCCACTCTCTGCTTACCAGGGGCTCGGGCCGGGCGGAGCAGGTGGCAGTGGGGAGCGAAGCCCCGGGGGATGCTTGGTTATCCTGTGAGTGGATTTGGACCTCAGGAGCTGAGCTGCTCATCCCAGTCCTGCCCAGGCTTTGCACCCTCCCCTCCAGGGCCCGGGAAGCAGCTTCCTGTTCTGCTGGTGGGATTGCTCCCAGCCCCCTGGTGGGGAATCAGACACCTTCTGATGACAGAGAGCCCAGTGTCAGGCTTCAGGGTCTGCTTCCTCCAGAAAGAAAGGCTGTTCATGTGGAAAAACTCTCCCTAGGCTGACGGGTTTATCTTTTCCACATTCCCCAGAAGGTTTTACGGTCTTAGAAGGGCGTCACGGTACTGTAAGATGCCTCCGTCACTTCCCTGTGACAGATGGCTGGCTGTCCCAGCTGGATGGTACCATGGAGACGGCGTGAGTCAGCGGCTGGCTCAGGCTGCTTCTGCGAAGTCCCCAGAGGTTCGCTGCCATCCTTGGCCTTGGTCAGGCTTCAGGATGCAGACGGCGGCTGGAGGAGACAGTGAACGGGGGTGGGGGGCGTGCTGGTCTGCCATCGTCAGACACTGGCTTTGCGGATCTGCAGGGTGCGCGAGTGTGTTCCCTTCACGAGAGGGAGAGGCTGGGTGGGAGCGTTGGCGAAGGCTGCCATCTTGTGTAAGGGAAGCAGAGCTGGCCACAGGGCATGCGCCAAGGACACTGGACCCTTAATGACCGGTCACAGCTGCCCCTGAAATGCCCATGCCCTGGAGTTGCTTATCTGAAGTGGAGGTTGAAAATGAATATTTACGTAGCTTCTCTAGCTGAGTCGTACTTGGCAATGAGGTTGATTGCCAAGACCAGAGACCTAACCACATTTGGGCAAATTAACATGAATTCATTATGGGGGCCCCCAGGACCCATCACAATCCAGCTACAGGAGGCACAGCAGAGTCTCGAAGGAGAGCAGGGCGTCTGGGTTGCGCCTGCTTCCCCCACACAGCCCCCCTCTCCTCTTGCCTGTTCCTAGTCTCCTCCTCTCTGCAGACTGGCTGTTTTCCACATTCTTTCCTGCACTCACGGCTGGAAGTGGCTGCACCACCCACTGTTGCCACCTCCATCCCTGGATCCTGCAGGGGGCCTGACTGGGGTGGGGGAGGATTCCTGGGCTGCCCCAAGAGCAGGTGGGTGGGGTGGGGAGGAGTAGACCTTTTCAGCCTACCAGGCAGAGCCCTGAGAGTCGGCACACTAGATTCGGGTCCAACAGCCTCGCCAGGTAGATTTTATCCCCATTTTATGGATGGGGAAACTGAGTCTTGGTGAGACGAGACATACCTGGCTGCAGAATCTGGGTGTCTTCCAGCACCCCACTGCACACCCCCATGCCTCAGTGGCCTGTCTGGGCCCAACCTGGCCCCGTGCTGCTTCCCAGCCCACACCGAGTGTGGTGGACCCCGAGGTCTCCATGGGTGGGAGGGGTCCGGCCAGCCCCCATCACTGACTTACCACTTTGTTCTTCTCTCTAAAGCCGAGTCTTTAAGACGGACATGGAGCTGGAGGTTTTGCGTTATACCAATAGAATCTCCAGCGAGGCCCACCGGGAGGTAAGCTGGGCGCTGTCGTAGCTGGGCTGGGCAGGCAGCGGGGCTCTGAGTGGGGCGGGAAGGCCTCGTTGAGATGGACGGTCCCGCAGCGGCTCCAGTCCCGAGTGCCATGTGAACAGGCAGCAGGTGGTGGCTCTTTCCTCTTCCCCAGTGGGGGCAGGACAGGGACAGCAGAGGCTCTGCCCTAGCCCCTCCACTGAAGGCACCCACCCTTGGGACATTCCCCAGCAAGAAGTCCCTGCTTCCTGGAATGTGGGGTTCTCCTTCCTGGCACTCAGGTGGTTCCAGCTCCTTTTAAAGGATCTCCCGTCCTTACCCGTGATTCAAACACAGTGATCACTGCCCTCCGTTTTCCAAAAACAGCCTCTCTCAGGCAGCTCTTCCCCAAACCACCCCACTTCACCTGAGGGGAAGAGCAGACAAGGAAGTGTATTCCTGCAGGACGCCTAGGGTGACTGGGACAGCCAGGTGCCGGCATAAGTGACAGTCGCAGGGAGACAGACAAGGGTCATGGGTGGGCCGCGGTCTCTTGCATGAATTCATCTTCTTCGTGTTCTGTGACAGCCAAACAAAGGAAACCTTTTAGGCATCGCTTCCCGAGCATTAAGGATTCACCAGACATCTTGGTGAAATCTTGGCCACCGCCTGAGCCCACCCTGTGGCTTGGTGCCGGGTGCTCACGAGCCCCCAAGTGGAAGCACTCCGGCATGGTTTAAATGAACCATGTGGCTCCTGGAGCTTTAAAACAGTTCGAATTTGTCCCGTGTCTGCACCTCCGCATGCCCAGACCATTTTTTTTTTTTTAAAGGAAGAGTTTCTTTTGAAAACCTGCTATATACATTATTTATAAGGCAGTGTTACTTATCTCCTTAATACAAATATCTTTGCTTAATATCCATCCTCCAGGTAATGAAGGCCGTAAAAGTGGGAATGAAGGAATATGAGATGGAGAGGTAAGCTGCTGTGTTTCTCTGGGTAATGATTAAAATGTGAAAAATAGTCATCGACATCCCCAGAGCGGGGACTGGGTGGGCGCCATGGGGCAGAGCGGGGACTGTGAGCAGGTGGCGGGAGCGGGACATCTGTCTCCGGACTGTGGCCACCTCCCTGGCTCTAGGCAGAGTATTTGACGGTAATGGCCTCTGATGACTTGTCGGGATGGTTTAGTGCCCCATCATTCCACGCTTGGACTTTGTTTCTGCAATTTGCGGGAAACGTTACCAAATAGCTCCTGTCGGGACTCCGAAGGCCACTGGTGACACAGCATGCCATTTTTATGTGTGGACATCGCTGTTAGGTCGGCTGTGCTTGGACAGCCAGGTCGAGGAATGGTTAAGTGGCTCGTAAAGCTTTCTGGGGAACTCCATTGGCCTCCGGCTCTAATCAGGCTCGCAGCGAGCCACTGCCCGCCTACCACCTCCAGCACTTCCCGGGGCGGCCCAGCCACAACGGGTGGGGCCCGGTCAGCTCCTCAGCCCCACTCGACTCCGGGGCCCAGGGCTCAGCACGTGCTGCCCGTGGCCTGAGGAAGCCCTGGGGTCACACCCAAACTGCCCCAGTGGCTCGCCTCCCACCCGGGTCCTGGGGCAGGAGACCCCCAGTCTAGCATCTCCCCGCAGTGACCACACCATCTGGAAGCTCTGCGGAGGAGACCATGCAGAAGAGGCTGCCAGTACTAAGAAATGCACATTTTGGTCTCTGCCCCCAGTTCCTGGCACAGAGCTTCTAGAACCCTTCAGTGAAAGTGTCTTTATTCACAATAAGCCCCTTTCACTCGCACCTGAGTGACTCTTAGAAGGTGGGGGCTGGTTGCTAGAGGAACCAACCCCGAGACTGGGGGTTGGGACTCTCAGCCCTGCCCTCGAACTCCAGGGGGAGAGGAGAGCGGACAGAGGGGGAGTTCTGAGCAGTGACTTGCTCAGCTGTGCCTGCAGAAGGGAACCTCCATAGAAACCATAAGCAGTGGGAGTGCTGGGAGGGTGGCTGGCCTGGGGGCAGGGCCTAGAGGCTCTCCGTCCCTTCCCCTGTACCTTGCCCTGCGCATCTCATCTCTCTTCCGTTTGGCTTTACTTGAGTTGTGTCCTTTCTGATAAAGTGGTAATAGTAAGTAAAGCACTTTCCCGAGTTGTGTGAGCCACTCAAGCAGATTATAAACCCAAGGAAGGGGTCATGGAAACCCCCAATTTATAACGAGTCAGTCGTAAGTACGGAGCCCTTAATCTTGAGGTCTGTGCTAACTCGGGCAGTTAGCATCAGAATTAAATTGCAGGATGTCCGGTTGGTGACCACAGAGGATTGGAACATTGCTTGGTTTGGAAAATCCACACGCTTGGTGTCAGAGTGTCGTGTGTACAGAAAAAAAACTTTTCCCTTCACCACCACCCCCGTTCTGGGCTGCGCCTTCCTACCTGGCCTTGCAGGAGCTTGGTGCTGCCCCCCTCCCCCACTTTGCAGAGCCCACTTGGGTGCCCTGAGGGACCGCTCTGCCCCACGTGCCCCTCCCAGCCTTTCTGGCCTGCCCACGGTGTCAGTGTGGAGTGAGGGCAAGGTGCAGGGTCAGAGTCGGTCATGGGCACAGTGGGCATAATGTTCACCATCGTGTGCCTTGGGGAGAGCATCTCTTTCAAAGTCTAACCCTGAAAGGAGTCCGGAACAGAGGGCCTCTGTCTTTCTGTCCTCTTACCCTGCATAGAAAGAGGTTAACATGGCCTCGAGGGCCCTTGTTGCTGTGGTGTCCCGGGAGGGGGCATGGAACAAGAGCTTTGTCAGGGACCCAGCTCTGTCACTGTGGAGGAGGATGGGGACGGGCACACACAGCTGTCCCCGCCTCTGCCTTCACATGGTCTGCTGCTCTGCTAGTCCCGGGGTCCTTGTCCCCCACCAGGATCTGGGACAGAGGGAGTTATGCGGGGGCTACCTGAGAGGTGGGCCAGGCAGCAGACCCCCAGATAGGCACTGCCCCACACATCTCTTCCCAGCTGAACTGGCCCATAGCAGGTGCCTCAAACAAAAATAACCCAGAAATTAGAGCAGGGCTGGCTTGCCCCAGAGTGGAGCCCTGCCGTCCCCTGCGCGCCGGTGGCCTTGTGTCCTCAGCTGCCAGCAGCCTAGCTCTAAAGCCGGCTCCTGGGAGGGGCAGGAGCTACCCTCCCATCCCGGGGTCCAGAGCCTGAGCCCGCCACCGCTGTTGCCCAGCCGGGCCTGAGTGTGAGCTCTGAGCAGGGGCTCTCGGAGCCCCACCGCCAGCTCCCTACTCCCCCATCCAGGGCATGGAGGTCTTTTTTCTCTTTTAATGAGAAATTTCAAATATCCACCACCCCCCACAAAAAGAAAAAAGGACAGGATAATGAACCTCGAAGTCCCCACCGGGGTTTTCACTTCGTCTTGTTTTGTCATCGTATTTAAAACCAAGCCCCGGATGTCGTGTTGGTTCAGCTGTCAGACTGGCGACAGGCGCCTCAGTCGAGGAGGCTCGCCCTTTACAAACCCACCACGTCATCCTCACTTCTACCAAATTAACAGTAATTCCTTAACCTTGTCGATGCCCAGTCCACGCCGGTCTGTCTGTGTGGGATCCCGAGCCTACACATTGAGCTGTGCTGTCGCACGAAGGGGCCTTTGTTTCGCTGAGCTGTGGGGACATAATCCCCTAGTCTTCAAACCGCTCGGCGCCCCCCGCCCTCCATCCCCTGGTGCCACGGCTGCCTCCTCTGTGGATCAGGAGAATCGAGACTGAATCTCACGCCAGGGCCGCCCTGAGGGTGCCGAGGGGCGTTACTTTGGCTTGACGGGTGTGTGCACTGTTGTGCGCCTACTGTATGCCCTGCCTCCCATGGCTGGCTGTAGGAGGTACACAAGGAAAGCAAGAACCTTCCTGGGGTGCATGCTTGGAGGTTGTGGACGGCGCTGAGGAAAAGCTGAGGCAGAGAAGATGAGAACAAAAATGGAGTCTGTTCCTGAAGGACAGGTGGGCAGGGTGACCTGGGGAGCAGACAGTGTCACCTCCAAAGGCAGTGGGAAGATGGTTGTTCTGGGACATCTTGGGGTGTACCTGGCCAGATTTGACAAGGGCACTCCCTATGGCCAGGCCAGCTGAAGCCCGCAGGGAAACTGCAGTGGTGAGCAGGGGCTGACTTCTCTGTCCTGAGATTTCCGCCCCACGGGCGAGTTTCTCTGTCACTGCCCGGGTGGCTCTGTGACACAGTTCTGTGGTCTGTGTCCTTGGGAGGCTGGAGGCTTCTTGAAGTCATATCTCCTTTATGTACAGTGTCTGCCCCACGGCTGGAGTCAAGAAGTACGTGTCTGTGGGTTGGCTGGATGGATGGGAGACAGAGGGAAATGTCCTGAGCTATTTTTTGCTGTCCTCTATGCTGCCATGAGCTTTTAGAATTCTTTTCTTAACTAGGTGGGGAGTATAAAGTCTCCTCTAGAGCTGGTGTTGTTTCCCGTGGGCTGTGACCCTTGTCATGCAGGCTGGACCAATGCCCGGGAAGGCCCAGGGCGGCCAGACTCCTCTGCAGGCTGCTGACCCAGGGGGGTCAAAAGAGCATCTCTAGAACCTGCTGGGCATTCTGCCAGGAGCACAGCTGGCACCAGCCCCCCAGGGGGACACAGGGCAAGGAGAGCAGGGACTCCGGTGTGTCTGGATGAGGCAGGATGGGAGCAGAGGACAAGAGGCCGAGATGGGGCTGATTTTTCTCAAAAAAAGGGCACAACATCAAGGCAGCAGTGCTCAGACTCTAGTCCTAAGCCTCGGGGTTTTTTGTTGTTTTATTATCAAAGGCTTGTTGTACACTCTTGAGGGCATGTTAAAAGAAAAAAGAGGGCGCCTGGGTGGCTCAGTGGGTTAAGCCTCTGCCTTTGGCTCAGGTCATGATCTCAGGGTCCTGGGATCGAGCCCCGCATCGGGCTCTCTGCTCGGCGGGGAGCCTGCTTCCTTTCCTCTCTCTCTGCTGTGCTGCTCTGTCCCAGGCAGCGGCCCACACTGGCCCACACTGGTGGCCTCCCGTTCTCCTCCAGTCCTGCGTGAGCAAAGCGCTCGCCCAGCTGTGCTGCGTGCAGGGCCTGTTGCCTTTCCTGCCCTCTGGCCGGACGGAGCGATGCACCTCCTGGGTGTGTGGTGTGCCCACTGAGTCAGGGCTGGGGGCGGGCAGCTCAAGGGCCCAGGGGGTGGGTCTTCTCCCCGACCCTGAGTGCCCACACATGCGTGTGCACACACACTGTCCACTGACACCACACAGGTACATACACACAGAGACACTGCACACCCACACACACCACAGACACACACAGATACCACTGATGCTGTGTGCACATGCGCACACACACACACACACTGTCCACTGACACCACACACATACACACACAGAGAGACACCGCACACCCACACACACCACAGACACACACAGATACCACAGACACTGCACGCATACACACAACCCCACAGACACACACAGATACCACAGACACTGCACGCATACACACAACCCCACAGACACACCACATACAGACCCCCCCACCCCCACAGACATATGCTCCCATAGACACACCATAGACATATGCACACAGATACCCTGAAGACTTACCATACACACACACACACACACACACATACACACACACACACCCTATAGACATACCACATACTACACACCAATACCCACACACACCACAGAGACACCTTCCACTGATGCTACACACACACACACACCACAGACACTGCCCACTGACATAACACACACACCACGCATACACATCTACCATTTAAATACACACCCCATGACACTCATGCCCACATGGACACACAATACCGTGCACACACTGCACACATCATACACTGCCCGTATGCATCACCATATACCCCGTATGTACTGTACACACACAACACACACTCGGAGACACACCTACCACGTACCACACTCACATACCATAGAGCTATATTCCACGTATGCAC